TTCCATGATGCTCCACTTGGAGTCCTTGTCAGCATAGATTTTATGCAGATGGTTCATTAACTATAAGTGGAAACATGACTTTACATAAAAGGTATACCTCTTCAGATTCCTGCACCTTTACTTAAGGCAATGTCTTTGTGCTTGGAACTTCTTTATATTTTATTCAAAGGAAACCTGAACATAAATTTTCCTGGAGAAAGTAGATATTAGTAAACTGAACACCGCCCTCCAGCAAAGTTAATTTCTGAAACCAGTAAATTTGCAAATAGATATATAGAGCATCTTTTATTTCTCAGGAAAGTAACGATCTTGTTTTTAGGTCCCAGTTACAATTTTAAGATTCAGGTTCAGCTACTGATTTTTTAGCAATTACTGTGGTATACCAGGGCAAACATTTGTTCTATTTATGCCCAAGATCTTTAAAATTAGTTTCCCTGATCAAAGAAGTACTTCTCTGAGACTAGTGGTGTGAGAGTAATATACAGAGACCTGTGTTTCGCTCTTTCAGACTTTTTTTCTCCTCTCATTCAGGCAGTTGTTATTAGGTGACAGTATTCTATTATATGGCAAAATGTGAGGCACTGAAAGCTTGGAAATGTATTCTGAAGATGCAAAATTATAAAAGTCAGAGGTTCTATGATTTTCTAGAAATGCACTGTGAGTTACGTTTGTAACTTTTTGTAATAGGGAAGCTTTATTTTGCTATTTGTTATCATAGGTGAAAAAGTTGGTTTAAGTCTGGATGATGAATGACTGTCAACCTGTTTATATTTTTCTAACTGGAAGCATGAATTAGTGCTACTTTTCTTCCTTTGACTTATTTTTTAAAGATACTGTTCAAAAAAACCTTTTTGGCATGACACTCGATCCAATGTAAAAGTTGATCCGTATTTTCAGCCAAACGTCCTAAGTCAAGAGAACTATATTGTTGAAGTGCTTTTTCTGTGGGCTATATTCTTACATATATTAGTGCAGTATTCTATACTGTGAAACTGTATTCTGTAAGGAACCCTTTGATGCTGTAATAAAAGCATAGAGATGCTGTATATACTGTTCTTATTATAAAATAGGTATTAGGAGACCTTTTACCAACTTTTAATTTGCTTTGGGATCTTTATTACTAATGCAGACACTGAGTGGTGTAGGAAATGCAACATCTCCCTTACTTATACCAAGCCATGTCTTAAAAGAGCCATCCAGTGTGCCATACTACTCAGATTATTTAAATTACACTGTTAATTCTGAGTTGATCATTCTGTGAATTTTAGTATAAGAGCCATAGGAATTTTAGCCACAAGAGATGTCTATCTTTCTAGCTCAGTAGTTACAGTCACTAAGGTGTCATTGCAAGTAAAAAGTTAATAGTTTCATCCTAATGAAAGCTGTTGGAAATAGCTCTTTTTCATTATCATTGTTTGTCTTTTAACGTGCAAAAGTACTCACGTTCATTACTTCAGTTCTACAGAACAAAAATTAATGGAAGTCTCCCTCTATCTGCTATAAAGCTTTCGACTTTGTCCTTTGGAAGCCAGCTGTAATAAACTCTATGAATCTTTGACTTTGAACCAAAGGTGATTAGAAGTTATGCTTGTATAGCATATGCAAGTATAGGATTTACACCCAGAAGCAAAGAATATTTGATATAAATATGACTTATTGTTGAAGTTACTAGAGGAACAAATAACAGAGATCAGAGCAGTGTTCATCAGCATTTAAGCCTTGAAGAATGGTTGTTGAGACTAAGCTACACAATGAGCAGTGCCCATAATAACTTGAAAATTTCAGATGTAGATTTAACTGAGTAGCTAGGATGAGCTATTTATTTTACCTCCATGTAAAGACTTGAAACTAAATTTGGATATCCGTAGGAAACTGTAGTCAGAGCTATTCAGAACTATTTTCACAAATACAGTAATAATGTGCAGATCTCAAGGTGTGGGTCTGATTGTTCTCCCACACAAACCTGCTTAAGTATGAAAAGTCAGAATACCTGACTTTTCCATTTTTAGGTGAAGGAGCTCCATGTTGCCAGGTTCAAAAAGGGACTCTTAACCTTTCTAGACCCACTGTTGGGTTTTCTCCCAGTGTTCCCTGGTAGGTGTGCAACACAATGAAAGACTTCTGACCAGTTGGATAAAAATGCTGTCTTTTTTTTTTTCTTTTGATTTGTTTTACACTTAGCATATAGAGAGTTCCAATACAAATTTCTTGTATGTTCCTTCTCACCAATGTGTCCCGTAGAGACTTGGGTATGAAAAAAAAAACAAACAAACAAATCTGTCCTACTTTCCTACTTAGCAGCTTCCTTTACATTTGTCATGTCTTAGCTGCTTGGCATTCCATTTGGCATCCTCTCACATCCTACAGATGAATGTAGAGAACATCAGGGAAGGTCCCAGATCACTCAGCCACTAAGCAATACAAGCTTCAAGGGAGGGAATGCTGATGCTGGGGATGGGGCAGCATTAAAGCTAGTCAGGAGTGACTGGGTGGTGTTTATAGTGTACTTTCCTTGGTGCACAAGGCACCCCAGTGCATTGCCTAACAGCAGAGTCAGCTGGTGTACTAGGTCATAGGATAGGCCTGTCTGACAAGCAGATCATGTGGCAAAGGAAGGGGCCAAAGTGTTAGATTGCAACTGGAGGACATGCCAACTGCTGTGATGTTTCTGTTTGCAGGCCACTGCTGCTTAATGTGACCGTGGCTCACCTTGTACCCTCTCTTTGCTGGCTCAGTAGATCAGACTAAGCACCAGTGTCTGGCAGGTTTGAGTTACAGAGCAGGAGGAAGGGGAAACTGTGCTGCAACTAGAATACAGCTTGGGTTTGGGGAAAGAGAAACCAGCAAATTCTACATGAGTCAGACTCAGGACTGAAGGAGGGGCAGGCCTAGTAGGAACTGTATGACTGCAAAGATCAGATTGGGAAGGAATGCAGATTCTTTGGGTGCTATCAAGAAGGCAGAGAGAAAAGGCTCCCTCATGCAGGAGAGTGGCAAAGGTGAAGTCTTTTTTGTTGGTAAGATGTACTGTGTTTAGGTCACCAAAGAAGTGTAGGAAAACCTTTGAAGCAAAGCTTGCTTCTAATGCAAACAAGAAGATGGGGACTCCTTTTTTTACAAGGAGTCACATGGAAAAGACAATGGATACAAGTTAATCCAAGGGAGATTCTGATTAGATAGAAGAGGAAAATGTTTCACAATGAGAACGATTGGCCATTGGAGTAATCTCCTCATGGAAGCGGTGTATGCCCAAATGCTGGACACTTTTAAGATTCATCTGGACCATCCTGTCTAGACTATGCTTTTGCAAAGACAGGTTGGACCATATGATCCTTGAGGTCCCCTTCCAACATGGTATTCTATGATTATCTGCAAGATTTCATTTATAGTACAACTTCACAGCATTATAAACATTTTACAGCTCTCTGCATAATTACTACTTTAAAGTGTAACCTGTATTTGAGAAAATATTATTTATAACTCCATATTGGATAACAGATTGCTAAGAAAGAGGGTATTCTTTAAAAAACAGGACATGTCATTTGCTTATGGTAGCATATGGATTTTCTAGTTGTCTTATGAGCCTGAAAACTGCCAAGCACCTCTAAAAGACTTTGGAGCTGAGTAAGTATTCCCCATGCTAAAGGATTTTACTTAGCATCTAATGCATGAGAAAGCTCCAAAAGTGTATGTGGAAAAAAACCTCTGGAGTTCCCAATGACCAGCTACAAAGTATCTAAAATGTATGAGTGCACACAAAATATAGCTCATTAAACAAACAAAAAAAAGCTAGGAAACTGTCAGCAGCTATATTAGCAATCATGCAAATCAATATAAGCATAACATTGATAGCTCATCTATTCATTTAAGAGTATAGAAATTCGGCAGAAAATACCCCCCCCATGCATTCCATCTGGTCCTTAGAGATCAGAGGGTCTGGATGTGGCTTGGCTTAATTTATGATTATAATCGATTTGGCAGTATAGTCATGTTCAGTAAGAACTTTCACAAGCACAGGTTCATGAATAGTTTAATTTACCAATCCAAAACTACAGTCCTATTGTGTCCAATAAGAACCTTTACTGTCCCAGATTCACACATAGTACTGTTTATTGAAACAACAGAAACACAGATTTGGAATCACTGTTGATAAATGTACTAGCTGTGATAGAGCTCTAACAATAACAATAATATTGTGCTCGCCCAGGTAATAATAATAATCCTACACATAAGTTTACTAAGCAGACATCCCTGCTGGTGAAGAGGGAGAGGAGAGTAGCCTGTCAAGTGACTCCCAGATCTTTTCAGGTCTTCCTCTTAACTAAACAAAACTTCTACCCTCCTTATATACAGCCCAGTCTTATTCTCCTCCTCCATCTTTACATGTAGCATAATCTAGGTGGAGAGTTGAGTAATATGGTCATATATATGGTAGCATGTACTTAAGTAATCTTACTAGCATGTGCAGGATATGCATTTTAATACTTAAATAACCCTTAATCAGACAAAAGTTACTTTTTTTGGCCACAGTGTCCTTCAAAGCTCTGGTCATATGACTTTGTTCTGTTCAGTTCTTCAGAGCCAAAACAGGATCATCCTACCCCCACAGGACCTCCTCCTTTGGCCAACTCATCCTTTCTTGGCATTAGCTATGTAGAGTTCCATCCACAAAGATAATGTAAAAGGTACATGGTGTAGGCTGTCTCAGCCCTTGCCTGGCTGCTTGGTCATCATCCCACACCATCTTAAAATCAGATGGAAGATGTACATTAAAAAGGCATTCATAATCCAGAAATAATCCTAATATACAACTCCTGTCATATTTCCCCAAGCACAATCTTCTACAAATGCAGAACAGAAGAATCTGTCTGACAGAGGCTAAATATTGATGTGACCAGAACTAGTTTCTGTATTCAAAGCCTCAGCCTAGCTATCAGAACATAGTTAATTATTAACGCATGTGTATAATCAGGACGTCTGACTCTGCAGATTGTTAGCAGGTTAGCATAGTGTACTTAGTGTTTAAGCAGATGAGAGAAGGAAAATAGGATTGTAAATTTACTTGCACTGTTTTGTTAGGCTAAGAAAAATAATGTAGAATATTCTTGCTAACGGCACATCTATGCAGTTTCCACAATTTCAGTGCATTCTGTATTTAATCTAAAATGTCAAGGATCTTGGACCAGAGAATTCTGTTGTTAGTAATTTCATTTTCAGCAAGTGTGCAGAGTACAAAGGTACTTTCAGAATGGAAGAAGTGTGGTGATCCGGAATGTGAGAGTAAGTAAAAATTTGGTTTTTTTCAGAAGGAGTCTGTGGTGTATATGCAGCTACTACAAACCATAATTTCAAAATTAGCAATGAAATGAGTGGAAAATAAGTAGCCATAGCAAATATTTGTTGTTAATATACAAAGTTTATGAGCAATAGGCTTAAACTTTTAAAACAAAAAGAGAAAAAAAAATACTTGCTGGATTGCTATGTAAGGATATATAGATCAAAGTTCAGTAAAAATACATTTGAATAGCTAATGTTTCTCAGGTTTCCCAAAATGGGCAGTATAAAACAACTTTAAAGTATTTTAACTCTTTTTTTTACAGGTACAAAATAAAATTAAAAAATATAAATAAAATAAAAAGAGTACATTTTAAACTGAAAAAGAAGACTCTAACATGTATTTATAGTACATTCATAGCCTATTCTGCCTGCAAAACCCTTTTTTTTCTACTGTAAGCAAGCTGTTTGGTTTGGGATTTTTTTTGTAATCCTTCTTAAAAAATACTCTCTTAATATATCCTCTTTACTTATTTTTTCTTCTTTAACATGAAGTGCTGTAAATAGCTATGTAGTTCCTGAGGAGTAAATAGCTCTGTGGGAGGCAGAGCCACTGAATCAGTGACAAATAATGTCCCATTTATTATCCATCGATTACCATTGTGAAACCTGTCATAATTATATGAAGCTGATTCTACGCTGTTTCCCTCGGGCTGGCAGCCTTAAGTGTTGCATTTTCAATGTAGATAGCTTTTCCTGAAGTGGAAGAGACCTTAGATTTCCTCTGGTGATGGATTTTTATTTTCTTGTGGAGCCATACCAACTTCCATGGGTTCTGGATGTTCAGAGAAGTCTATCTTTGGGGAACAGCACGTGGAATGGGCTCCAAACTGACCAGAGCACATCAACAGTGCTTTCTGTGGGGAGACAGTGGTGGAGACAAAGAAAATTTAAAGTAATTCCACCTGAATTGGAAAATTTAGTCTTAACAATGTGTTTAAGATTTATATTGCTTAAATTTACTTATTTCCTTCATAAGATAAATAGAGGACAAAATCCCTGAAATAATACTAGATTTAACTTAGAATTTCTAAAATATAAAATTATAAGTGTGTCTGGGAAATACTTTTTAACTGTTCAGATCCAGCTTTAGTAGTTAAATTTGCTAATTCTGCATAGACATTTAAGCATTGAAACTTTGGCTGAGCAAACATTGGAAAATGTCCACATAGGACAAGAGCTTTTCCAGTTGATGTCTGCAGTAAATAGGAAAGAAAACAGGATAGGGCTGCTTTTCCCGTTAGTTGCTTTCCACTTGATGATACAAACTGATTAGTATAATAACAGAGCACATACATTAAAATGTTTGTTAATACATCAGTATTTTATATATCGGACTTCTTCAGTAACCTGACTTCAGACAAAATGGCAGCTATACTTATTTGTTTCCTTTTTTCTACATATTATTCCAGAGGCAATGAGCCGAGTTCAAGCCATTACAGACTATTTAGGGCCCGATTGCCGGTATCTTAACTTCAAAACAGGAGAAGAAATAATGGTATACTCCAAACTTTCCAGGGAAAATGAAAACCTGTGGACTGGAAGTGTAAGTACTTCAATCCGAAAGACTTTCCCTGTAAACATTTTAGGTAGTGTAATAATAGCATAACAACTGCAGTCTGCTTGCTTCTAAAGATTTTCTACCTTGTTTGTAACGTCAACCAGTCCTGGATCAATACAGTATTTGGGAGATGGGTCATTGTTGCTATCTTTATACGGAAAGGCAAAATCAAATCTTGGCAAAGATCGCTCATGAAGAAACAAAGTCAAGATGAGAATACAAGTTTTCTGACTCCTTCATGTTATCATTTGGCTGTAATGATTTCATCTGGTTCCCTTAAAAACCCTCAGGTCTATCAGGTCAGGTTCCTACCTACAGGTAGGTAAGAAACACAGTATTGGGACCTGACTTCACAGGTCAGTGCTTAAGGAAAGTTCACTGAGAAGTTATCATGCATATTTAATGATTTGGAACAATGGACAACACAGTTAGAACAGCCATTTGAGAAGGAATAGATGCATTTATCCAAATCAAGTTTTACTGCTAGTAAAACTGTGGAAGTACTTCAAAAGTTGTTGGTTTTTGTTCATTTTTTTTTTGTTATTCTTGTTGATAAATGATCTTTCACATTTATTGTTTAACAATTAAATTCTGTCTTACTTTTTTTTCTTTCAGGATTATCTTTGCAGGTACCTCACTATTCCTTGCCTTCCACAATCTATTCCTCCATTAAAGGCTATCTGCAATGATTTCATATAAAGCTAGCTGTTGGTTTCTTGGCCAGAAGGACCCTTACTTGATTCTTTTGGACATTATCATTAACTTATTTTCTGCAGTGTTGCCATCTTCATGGCCATTTTCTCTTCAGCTGCTTGTACCTGAATGTCACATCCTACTTTTCTTGTAACTTACTACGGGTCATTAGTTATTAAGTCATGACTTTTCTCCCACTTGGGACAATGGGAGCCAATTTTAGTAGGAGCTGGTTGCGACCATCTGCGCACACAACACTGTCTTCAGCTGAAACAGTTCAAAGGCTACTGCCTGGGTTCTGCACAAAGAGATATTCATAAAAATAACACAGAAAATAACAGTATGGAGTAATACACTTCCCCTTGCTTTCTGAAATGGCAAATGGAACATTTCTGTGAAGGAAAAATAAATTAAACCAATCTTCTGATGAAACAGAATGAAGGGGATGGGGGCAGTTCTGTAAACGTATTGCTCATCCATGGTTTTCTAGGACATATGCAAGCACCTAACATATTTATCACTGAAGTTTAAATGCTCTCATTCCTTTTATATTTTTTACAGAAAGGGAAGGATTTTGGATACTTCCCAAGAGATGCTGTGAAGGTTGAGGAAACTTTTATTGGAGAAGAAGTTGAAGTGCTCACTAAGGTAAATCAACATCACCAGATTTTCCAGTGTAGTTTACAGCAACTGAAAATCTAATATCTGGTAAGAAAATCAAGTGTTGATGCATATTTTATTCCAGATAATCCAAAACATTTGTTTTTACAATTGCTCCATTTGCATGGTTATTGTCCTCTAAAATTTTTATATAATTCATGATACAGAACCCTTAGGAATAATACAATTAATTATAGTTCTTTGTGTAAATTTATAACTATACAGAAAGAATGAGAATATATATTGCTGTGCTACACAGTGCTATAGAAAATTACACATTAAACTATTTTAAAAGTTAATATTATTCTTTTAGGAAACAGATTTCCTTTGTCTTCATGAAGATAAGTATGTTTTTGAAAATGAAGATAGCACATTATATGATCACAACAGAGAAAGTGAATATTCATTGTCTGATGCAGAACCAAAGCTGCATGAAAATGAAGCCTTAAATTATACAAAAGACTCCATACAAAACGAAGAAATAATTGAATCAGTTTCTGAAAATGATTCTGAGGAAACTCGAGCTCAAGAGTCTGCAAACAAAAAGTTGGCTAGAAAAGATGATACTGAAGAGCCACAAATGCAAAATAGTCTCCCACTAGAACCCATTCAAACTCAGTCTAGCTGGATTTCAGGATGGTTCACCACAGAAAGTAAAAATGATGAAGAGCCCTTAGAAGTTGTTACTGAGTCTTTAGAAGAAAACAAATACCAAGGGAGAAAAATAATGGTAACAGATGAAAATGACGTACAGGAGCCAAATGATAAGGAGGAACAAGAACCCCCAGCACCTGGTTGGTTTCAAGGTGGACTGACGAACTTTCTGTATTTTGGTGAAGAGAATGAAGATGTAGATTTGGCATCAGAAAAAAATGATCCAGAAATCCATGATGTTTCTGGTGTGCCTGAGCATTCCAATACTGAACAAGAAACACCAGAGTTACTGTCAGAAGAGGAAAAGAGTGAAAGTCAAGAATCCAAATCAAATTGGTTTAATTTGGGTTTAAGTGATGTTCTTAATTTTGGCCATGCTGAGAAAGATACAATTGCTAGAGAGGACCAGAAAAATGGAGAAACAAAGGATGAAGCAAATAAGAATGAGGAAGAGCAGACTTTAGACCAGAAAGAATCACATATGGACAAAGAATTAAAGGAGACAGCTAAAGCAGTGACAGATGAAGACGAAGAGAATTATGCACAAGAAATAATAGATTCACACAGTAACAGGCCAAATCCTGAGGAGATACCACCAGCAAGCGTACATACTCTTAATGACACCAAAAGCACCTCAAATAGCACAGAATCCTCTTTTGATATACTAACAAGTGACAAAGAGAAGCCAATTGAACCTTATAGTTCAGAAGAAGACTTGGTATCTGAAAGCCAACTGTTGAAAAACACTGAAGCTGAAGAGAGAAATCAAGAGTCAGAAAGCAGAAGTGGCCAGTCAGGTTGGTATACAAATATATATAATAGTTTTATTGATTATAATGTGGACACACATGATAATCAACAGGGACATGAATCAATTGCATCAGATCAGATTTCTTCTTCTCCTAGCCTACCTCCAAATTGTGATCCCTCAGACATAAAACATACAGAAGAAAAGCCCGACATATCTGAAGAACAGAGCCATTTCTTCTCTTTCAGTCATTTTGCAGACATACTGAAGTTTCAGAGTTCAACAGCCAAAGAAGAGCAAGTGCAGAGTTATGGGGAACTACCAGGAACTGAAAATAATCATCTGGGCATCAAGAAGACTCCATGTGGCAGCAAACCAAGTCTTAGTCTTATAACATCTGAGAAAGACAAACCAGACCAAGGTTGTAATGCAGAACAAAATTCAGCATCCAAAAGCCATTTCAAAATGGATAATGATGTAAAAGAGGAAATTCACAAACCAGAGAATAAAAATGACCCACTGGGTTTTTACGAAAACAACATCAAAGATTTCAGTCAGGATATTTTTAATGATCAACATAATCAGAAACCTGGGGAGTCTCAAGAACTGACTCCAAACCAACCTTTCTCTCCTCACCCCTCATCTAGTGGCTTTGGTTTAACAGGTACCAAAATGTCTGAAGAAACTGGCCATTTGGAAGACACGTGGAGTTTCAGAATGGAAGGTAAAAACTGCTTGCAGAGAAGAACTAAGCTTCCATAATAAAAAAAAGGCCTCGGTAAAGCCTTGATAAAATACTGCAGGGAAAAGAAACTGAAGGCACTTCAAAACAGAAGGTTAAAAATAAAGAATCAGGTAACAGTAATGCAGATACCTCCAAAGAGACTGATCTTTCTCTTCAGCTGGCAGTGACAAACAGGGCAGTGGAGGAAAAAACTGACAACAAAATCTAGCAACCTAGTAGAATATTCAACAGCTCTTGATGCTCCTACTGATAGCTTGTCAGAAAAAAGCAACAAATTGACCAAATTCCTATAAACATGCAACATCATCAGAAAGGTGAAGCAGAAGCAACATGGGAAGATTCATATTCCCAACATCAGCTTCTGTTACCAGAGGATGGACAGTCTTAATCCTGATCTTAGAAAGAAATATAAAAATTACCTGTGATACAGTAAAGGAAACTATTATTCTGTATCTTTAGATTTTAGGCCCATCAATTCTAGCTATTATGACAGTGCAAGATACAAAAGCATAGAAAATAGATCTGAGTTTTAGAAGGCATCATCAAACACTACTTCAAAAGGCAAAGTAATACCAAAGTCTTCAGCTGAATCCAAGTCCAAAAAAGTATTTACAAAGACAATTTACCAAAAAGAAAAGCAAAAGTCATGTGATATTAGTCTGATCAAATGCGACATTTTACCCTAGAAGCCCTCTAAAATATAAGACATTTTTAAAGAAAAAATTGATACCTAATGTCTCCTAAAACCCTCAAACTAGAAAGCCAGACTGCTATTAAAAAAATTAATTAAATCCTGACAACCTGGGATTGCTCATAAACCTGGCTGATAGAGTGTATGTTGAAAAACAAGATACTGTTGTGAACAAAAAGATGGATAATTCTGAAAAAAAAAGATTGCTCCTACTAAAACTAGTTAGAAGAAAAAAAGAAAAAAAATAAAGGATCTGAAAATCAGAGAGTAAAGGTCCAGAAATATAAATAATACTGGTTATATTCTAGCAGAAAGAGTTCCAGTAGTATTTTTAACAGACCACCAGGGTTCTTTGCAAATATATTTAGAAAAACTAACAATTAAACCTGTCAAAAAAAGTCTAAGCATACATGTTTTGTCAAAAAGCCAAATGAAAATAGAAGTGACACTAGGACTACTGTCACCAGTATATTTAATAATGCACAGAATGATGAAATGGAGGTAGGAGCAAAGGAATCTGAACAAGAAAAGATAGTACTAAATGTGGAGAAGGTGCAGAAAATGCTGAAATCGATTTAGAAATCATGTAAGAAAAATTTGGGGAAGGACAGCTTGGCATTTTGGAAAAAATACTGGAAAACAAAGAAACTGACAAAATCACAGTAGGGTGAACAGAGTTCATGTCCCAAAAAAAAAAGGAAACCCATGCAAATATTGTATGATGAACAGATTTACCAAACACATCAATAACATTTCAACAATTTTATTTGAAGTTAAAACAAAAAGTTCCCTCTGTGAGGGAAGCAAACTGCTGCAGCTGCATCAACTATTTGAAAAGATTCATCATGAAATCACAGCTTACTCCACTAAAGATAATACTAGGCAGAGGTCATTATCTCTGCACAAAAGGGGCACAATTTTGACACTGGGCCGAGAAAATATATGGAAAAAAGGAATGTTCTTCTAGAGCTGGCAGAGCTTTTGTCTGCTATACAATTAAGTGTGCTGCCCAAACTGCAGCTAAAGTTACTAGACTAATGTTTCACTAAAAGTGATTTAGCAAGAACAAAATATCCTTTGTTGGCAGAAAGAAATACAACAGATACAAAGCTGTCTCCTTCTGGTGATTTAAAATGAAGAGATAGTGAGCCTAACTCATACTAGTTAATGTCTGTCTGATTCATGATGTTTTGATGATCCGATAATACATGTTGAGTTAATATAATTGTATCCAGGCAATTACTTGTCTTGAATTTTTACTACTGGACTATTTGTGATGCGTATCTTTGGTGTACTGCCTTGAAGCATAGAATTAAATGAAACAATTCATAATTTTATTTTTTTTCTTCGTGGGTAAGCAAGGTGTGCGGTTTTTTTTGAAAGCACTACTTTATTGACTTCAGGCAATTTACTCCAAGTCACTAAAACTGAGGCAGCCAGTTGTCTTCAGTCATAGTCCTGCATGAATATTCCTGTGGTTCCTTGTATTTTGCAGTGAAGCTTGTTATCTTGTGGGAAGTCATTAATCTTTAATCCTACATGGCATTTTTAGTTGTTCTCCTTCTTGTATTTGGATACAAAAAAGAGATCTACTAATCCTGACCAGGGAATCTATATGCTATCTATCAAATCCTGAACATTGATTTTTAACTCCTTTACTACAGTACAAGTTTTGCTTAATGATCTCTAAACTCTGAGACCATTATTTGAATAGTGTTTCTTAAATAATTTCTTAATCATAAATCTTAGCATATTTACTTTAATGTGGTACTCTAATGTTTGGCTTTAAACTGAGAAAAAAAAATTAAAATCTCTGTAGAGGTTAATATCTTATTGGAGTACGTGTGTGTAAGTTGAATCCTTGGAAAATAACCATGATTTCCCTTTACATTAATTTGCAGGAGTAGGCAGAAGAAAGCTACTAGAAGAAACACCAGAGAAGAAACATGAAATGAATGTAGCTGTAGATAGTGAACTTGACAGTGACCAAGATTCAAAAGGAACAGCCATTGCTTCAGTAAATTCTGAAATAAAAATGGACAGTTCAGTAGCTGACTCTGTATTTGATGTCGAAAAGCCTTTCTCAGATGCCGTCCAGAACTATGTTCCAAGTAATGGTAAGTGTTGAGTTTCTTAATTTTAAGGAAAATAAATTTGCAATATTAAAAAAAAAAACCAAATCACTAAAAAACAGTTGGAATAACATGAAGCTGACAATTGTAATGTAGAATCTCTTTTTTGTTTGTTTGGTTTTTTTCCTTATGATCAAACTAGAAGGAGGCTGGATATATCAAATACTACTCTGTTTGAATGCTCTGGAGATCAGGGAGTCAATGAAATCTGTATTGTCAGCACTGATGACTATTATCCAAAAGGTAAGAATTCTTTCTGTGATATAGCATTGACATTAGTGCAAAATTAAGCCAGTTACAGGTTATGTTCAGCAATGAAGCTCCTAAAAAGAAAAAGAAAAGGAAAAAAGAAAAAATCCTTTTTAAATAAACCTTCTGCAGTTCTTTGCTTCCACAGTTATCTGATGTCAAATGAGTCAAAGATAGCTCAGGAAAATGTCAGGTCAGCTGCTGTTCATCTGCCTGTTTTTTGCAGTGCAGAATCTGATGAACGTAGGGTGTGAGGAGATTTTTTGGTGTTGTTTTGTTTTGTTTTGTTTTGTTTTTCAGAAGAGCCAGGAAACACCTCACTGGTATTTTTAAATTTGAGTGTGTGTTTGTTTGTTTGTGGTTTTTAAAATGAAAATAATAGCTCTCTCCAGTTCCCATGGTAGTACTGATTAAATTTGCTGGACTTAGAGCTTGGGTCAGGATGAGTAAAATTACCAGAATACTTCCATTGTTTTTAAAAAGTATTTTCAAAACCCTGAGTCCCAAATATTCCCCTAGTTTGTAATTGCATTAAAAATACTTTTCTAAGCAAATACACAAAATACAAAATGGGGTTATTATTGCTATAGGGATGTCTTAAATATCAAAACATATGGCAGAGTGAAGGTGGACCTTTAATGGATGCAACTGCACAAGAAATGATGCTGCTAGAGAGAAAATGGGGTTGCACTGTCTCCTCTAAACAGAGAAGTAGTATCAGGAAAAATGCTATATGGTAAACTGCATTAATTTTGGTGCTTTGGTTTAACTTTGTTTAGATTGGGTAACTGTTGGGTAAGTCTAAGAACCACATAAACGTGTTCCTGATTTACAGTGTACTTATAGGGTTAAATTGCAGTCTAGGATGATGAAAAACGAAGGGCTTTTTTTGTCATGACCCAGACTGGATTGCAGTGCTCACTGATAGTTCGCTACTACGGCCAAACTCATTCCCGTGTTGTTTGATTCGGCTAAAAAAGCCACTTCCACCTTTTACCTATCCCAGTCCCTTAGGTGGTACCGGCTTCACTCGGCAAGTCACTCGGCTTGCACTGTGGAAATTGAGTTAGCACACGTTATTAAAAAAAAAATCATTAAAAAAAGTTAAAACAATCACAAACATAGAGTTAGTCTTAGTGAGTAAGATGGAGAGCGATCCTCTGCCACGCGCCGTTGCACTTGTCCCCTGGCGCAGCAGCAGCCCCGGAGCGGTCAGTCTTTGGCAGACGCGGGGCAGGCGGTGACGCCCCAGCCCTGCCCCACCGGGGCTGCTCCACCTGCCGCCCCCGCCCCGCCCGGCACGGACAGCCCCGCGCCCGCTGCGGGAACACGCGTGCCGGGTGTCCCGGCGGGAGTCGGGCCCTTCCCAAGCCTTCTGCTCCTGGGAACACCCGCCCGCGCTCCGGCGCACATGGAGGCGGCGGGCGCCGCGCGGGAGGTGAGTTTTCCTGCGCGTAACTTTAGGGAGGAACAGGAGCGGATTCCCGCGGGGCCTCCTCGGTGCCGGAGCACGGCGGTGAGGGGAGCTGCCGGTCCTTCCCGGCTGCGGCCCCCCCGCCAAGAGGAGGGTCTGTCGGGAGAGGTGCCGGAGCCGCCGCTGGGCGAGCGACCGAAGCCGGGTCCGGCCCCGGCGCTCCCACCTGCGCCGCGCCGCCCCCCCCGCTCTCCGCGGCAGCGGTGGCTCCTTCCCGCTGTCCCCCCGTCCCGGGCAGTGGTACGGGCCGGTTGTCAGGCGGCGGGCCGGAAGGGGCGCGCGCCGCCCGCGGGAAGATGGCGGCGGGCGGCCGCGGGCAGCCCGGGCCGGGCACCGGCACCGCCACCGGCACCGCCACCGCCGCGATGTGGCCCGAGCTGCGGGACAGCGCCCGCCGCTACTGCCGGCTGGCCTGGGAAGGGGCGCGCTGGGTGAGCGAGGGAGTGGCTGCGGGGCCCGCCTCCGCCCGGGGGAGCAGGGGCCGTAGTCTTGTGCGGCGGGGGGCTCAGGCCGGGGACAAATCGAAATTTACAGCACAGGGACATGTTTTTAAGCACGGCTCACATGTAGTAAGCGTGAGCTGCATTGAGCACGTTGTATCTTTGAGCAAATAGTGAGACCCATTTACAAATAAAATGTGAGTGTATTTAGTGTGTTTAAAATTCGTTAAATCACTGACGTGTCCAAGTATGTTATTTTAGCATGAGGTTGGCTGAACAGGTTTTTCCACCAGAAAATTATGAAATACTTACTAGTATTGATTCTTCCAACAGTGAAACGTGTAGACAGCTCAAAGGAGACTTGCCTGAAAGGCTCTTACAAGAGAGCTGGAGAGGCACTTTTTTACAAGGGGCTGTAAGTGATAGGGCAAGGGGGAATGGCTTCAAGCTGCAATAGGGCAGGTTTAGATGAGACAAGAGGAGGAAGTTCTTTACTCAGAACTTAGTGATGAGACACTGGAACAAATTGTCAGAGAAACTAGGGATGCCCCAGCCCTGGAAGTGTTCAAGGCCAGGCTGGATGGGGATTTGAGCGACTTGGTCTTATGGAAAGTGTCCCTGTCCATGGCAGAGGGATTGTAACTATGTGACCTTTGAGGTCCCTTCCAACCAAAATCATTCTGTGATTCTATGATAATGGTAGGTTAAGAAGGAAAAGTTTTCAAAGCTTTATCTATTCATTGTCATACTTTGTTGGAACTTTTTCCTTCTTTTTTTTAATTTACTTGGTAAGTCTATAATTTAAAAATCAAATGCTTCTGTTAACCATTTTTTCAGAGCTTTGGGAAAAAATTAGATGTAGAAGCCTTGTAAGTAAACTAAGTCAATATGTAATGTCTATTTCTGTTGAAAATATTAACCTCTTTAGCTGAAGCTTTTTACTTTATTTTTCAGGTTGTGGCTTCACTACCTGAAGATATGAGACCTGGCCCTGATCTGTATGGTTTCCCGTGGGAAATAGTGATTTGTGCTGGCATTGTTGGAGTGTTTACAATTCTTTTGTTCCTATACAGAAGTTACCAATCAGTAAGTGTTTTTGTTTAATCCCAGATGGCAGCTAATCACCACACAGCTGCTCTCTCACTCCATCCCCTGCACAGGGATAAGGGAGAGAGTCAGAAGAGTAAAAGTGAGAAAACTCATGGTTTGAAATAAAGACAGTCTAACAGGGAAAGCAAAAGCCACGCAAGCAACAAAGCTTAACAAGGAATTTATTCACCACTTCCCATGGGCAGGCAGGTGTTCAGCAATCCCCAGGAGAGCAGGGCCCCATCACACATAACGGTTACTTGGGGACACAAACTCCATCACTCCAAACACCGCCCCCATCCCACCACTTCCTCCTTTCCCTCAGCTTCGTATGCCGAGCATGATGCCATATGGTGTGGGATATCCCTCTGGTCAGTTGGGGTCAGCTGTCCTGGCTGTGTCCCCTCCCAGCTTCCTGTGAACCTGCAACCTCCTCGCGGGTGGAGTGAGAACCAGAAAAGTCCTGGACTCTGTGTAACCACTGAGCAGCAATAACTAAAACATCCATGTATTATCAGCTCTTTTCAGCAAAAATCCAAAACCCAGCTCCATACCAGCTACTGTGAAAAAAATTAACTCTATCCCAGCAGAGTAAGCAAGTTATGTGCAGATATGTAGAGTGCATTAATGGTTTGCACTCTACTTGTTATCCTTTTCAAGATATATAATGCTTCATATGTATAATGGTGTTGTGATTGAATTTAGAATCCCTCTAAAAGAGAAACTGAAGAGTCTGTTCTGTCAAGATGTTAAATGTTTAGGTACGTACTGAGTGACTGTTGTCATAAGAGGAAATGAAAGGAAACTCGATCCAGTAAGGCCTCCATTTCCCTTTTCTATTTAATTTCTACACCAGGCTTTCAAAGACAGCCCTTAAATTATTTTCACAGCACACAGATGTCTTCCCCAGGGTGTATATTTACTGTGTCTATTGACCCTGGCCATAGCCAGACCAGCTCAGGTCTTTCAAGGTAATTGTAAGCAAAAACAATCTATGTGGTTTCCCATCAAGAAGGGCACTTTAAAACTCTTTGGACAGTGAGCTTGATTTTGTTTATTGGAACACTGAAACAATTTTACTGCATGCTTTTTGTGAGCAGTAATGTGATGATTTCGAGAATTGCAGTACTGAAACTTTTTTAATGCACAAATCAGATTATATTTTTGAGGTAATGGCTTTCTTCTGTTGTGAGTAAGTAAGAATCTGACTAATAACATGTATGCCTACCATACTTCTTGTACTAAGGAGACGGGGTCAGTATCCATAACACAGTATTTAAATTTCTTCCCAGTTTTTGCATACTATCTAGTCTGAATGTGATTCTAGTGATAGGTATAATGACGCTTATGTTTGAAGATGTGTTGCACAACCATTTAGTTTTCAGGTATGAGCAACTGCATTTTTAGGGTTTTAACATCAGGTAACAGATTGTCTGTGAGGGGATCTGTGTATAAGTTAATGTAACTATAACTTGGGTAATACCTTTGGTTTTCTAGCAGCATCCCTTGAGATGCTTCAACTGAAATCACGCAAGCATCGAGCTCTGGTATTGTTTTCCTCCTGCACGTCACTTAAGGCATTAGATATTACAGAAATTATGGATAGTTTTTTCAGTCATCCATACTTGCAACTGCACTGACTGCTCTTTGGAGAATTGATGATTACCTAAAAGTAATGGGGATTAGCTTTGGGGATGATAGGATAAAAGTATACTTACGACTTTCTCTCCCTTTTTTGTTACTTGGACTACTTAGCCATCCCATGGCTTTAAATGAGGAGGAAACAGGGAAGATCTGAGGGACTTATTGTTACAATAGACACATGATCCAGGCCTAGCCTTGAGAGAAATGCTATGTTGTAATGTTTTTGTGGGTCCAGCCAAGTTCTGCATCTCTTGCACACACCCTTTGTGATAGATTTAGTCCGGAAATCTGTTAGATTTTTGATTCTAGGGCACTAAACCCTACGTGGCAGCTGCTGACTTGGCACTTCCCACTGAGTTGCATCCGGGCAGGATGTTCATGAGGTAGTACCCCTAATGCAGCTCTAACTATTCTGTGTTAAAATGTGTGGGGTTTTTTTGCAATAGGAAGTTGGGGCTGGTGTATGGAGCTTCCCCCTTCCTTCCCTTTCCTGCTCTTTTGACTGTACTTGTCCACTACCACTTTGTACTGGCAGTCATGGTTATGTGATGACTATCCAGAAGTGTGTTATTAAAGTGATCCAGGTGAAAACTAACGTTCTCTCCCCTCTTCTCTCTGATAAGAGTGGGAGAGGGATGGGACAAACACACAGACATGGAGGGGGTAAGAGCAGAAGATATGATTGCCCATTTTTATAGCAGCCTGTATTTATTTTCCTTTTTTAAATTCCATGGTTAAACTGATCATGGAACCACAGCTGAAAAGATTAGTTTTGAGATACTATGCAATAGTAATTGATCAGACATTTTCAGCTTTTTTTTTTTTTTCAGGTTAGAAGTCGACTTTATGTAGGTAAGCTTATTTTTCATACTGTTTCTTTGGAATATGATTTTATTCTTCCTTTTTTTTTCCTTAAACTATTAGGATATTGCAACATTTAAGTGTCTTTCTCCTTTTAGGAAGGGAAAAACAGCTTGCCAATAAAATTGCTGAACTAATTGATGAAAAATGCAAAATTCTTGAAAAACTCAGCCTTTGCAAAAAAGAGGTAAGGGTTCTCATTTATTGCTTTCAGATGTGTCACAGAAATGGACAATCAAATAAAGTATTAAATTTCTCTAAAAGTAAGATGTTTTAAAGCTTTTAAAGTAATTCTTCAAATGCTTTTTTCTGTTGGTACCTTAAGAGCAATTAAGGTGTTAGCAAGTTCTGCCTTTACCTCTTAATACAATGTTTCACAGAAAGCAACTTCAAAATGTCTTTGTTTGGTTTATGTCACTGGGATAATGTAGTAGGGCTAAAGCTTTCCAGCAAGGTGCATCTGTGTATATTTAGGTGGTGGCTATGTTTCAGACTAGAGTAACATAAATTAATGATACTATTTAATCAATTCTTTATGTACACTCTGACATAAAGTAATTCCTTTTCAGTTTGAAGATTTAGAATTGTCTCTGAAGGATGGTAACGGTATGAAAGAATCAACAGACACATCTTTTTTTGAGGTAAAAAGATAAATGGAAATTGTTGCTTCTATATTTAAGACAGTGTTTTAGTAAAATGCTGCCCGTATTAAATAAAAAAGCTTATATTAAAAAAAAACCAACAGAACGACAAAGCTTCCCCCAGACAAAATCCAAAATATGCCAATTTAATTGTTTTGATTGGGTTACTGAAAATTGCATAAAATCAAGGCATTTAAATTAAGAGAAGTTTTTCTTAACAGTAAATTATAAGTGATTGATATAGAGCATATGGCATATTGGACAATAAATAGTTTTTTAAAAGTGAATTGTTCCTGTTTCTAGGATTGAGAGGCTATATTTTATAGGCTACTGGAGAACAGTTGTGAAGAAAAATTACTGCTACATTGTTTATATCCCCCAAACTGAGGATATATTTGTAAAAAAAGTTCTGAATAAGTGAATCAAGTACATATTAGGCTCTATAAAATTCAGGTAATGAAAAAGCAAACAGATTTATTTCATTCTGAACATCAGATCCCATAGAGCTAATTTTTCCACTTTTTGTTAACATGCAAGAGTCTCTAGAGTACTTGATATGGTGAAATTTGTTAAAGATATTTTGATGTCATATTTAAAGCATACTTGTCTTCAAATGTAATTAATTTAGGAAATGCATGAAAAACTGAACAAGTCAAACTTGGAACTCAACCAGGAAATAGAGAACTTGGAAAAAGAACTGGAAGAAGAAAAATCTAAACAATCAGAAAATGACACCTTGGTAAGAATAATTAGAATCCTGATTTTGTTACTATTTGTTTAAAAAAATTGCCCGCAGAAAAAGATGTTCTGTGGAGAAGACAAACTATTCTCCTTGTGTGTTTCGAAACAAACTCCACAATTTTCATTTTGTCTCCCCTCATTACATTCCAATTATACTCATAAAGGAAAATACTCAAAAGAAGAAAAACTTTTTTTACTGATTTGGCGGTAGAATTTCCTCAGTTTGAAAATTAAAATAATGTTAATTGCCTAGACCTTTTCAGTCAGATGTGTGGAAGAAGCTATATGACAACCAATAATTTTCAGGTGGCTGAAATACAGGAGAGAGTGGAGTCTTTAGAGATTGAAGAAAAATCTATCCAGTCACAAATTGATGAGGTATGTCTACTCTTTATAGTTTCTGTTTTCAAACCTTTGTAATTTCCCTATTCTCCATGTAGTTACAGTTTTAATTTTTTTTTATTTTAAGGATACAGAAATAATATGCTGTATAAACCAAAAGAGTTTGTAAGTACTTCTGTGTGACTCGATTGAGCAAATTTTAATTTTAAGTAGGGATTGGCATTTGTTGAGTAGTCGCCTTGTCTTTTCTTTGTCTTCTTATTACACAGTGATATATATAGTGTTGCAAAAGTACAGTCAGCAAAAACTGTTGAAATGGTAGAGCAAATACGAGAATCCATATACAGGACAGCTAGAAAACCTAAGAATAAGTCCAGTAATACCATCATGACCATATCTTCACTTATAACATTTAAACAACACACTTTTTTATTTCACTTAGGCCAAGTCCACCCTAAAAGTCTATCAGATTAATACAGAGAGACTCAAGACATCTCTTGAAGATGCAATAAATGAAAACAGCCATCTCCAGGAGAGTGAGAAACAGGTAGGTTGTTCCTAGTTATCCTTAGAAATATGTGTTGTCTTGTGGTACTACATAAATATGATTTCTCCAAGGAGCTAATCCTCTACAAGTTTGTCAATACCCCTCACGTGTTCTGGTAAATGGAATGAGGAAGAGGACATGGTTTTAAAAATGATTTTATGTTGGAATAACTTTGTGTAAAATAGTCTTGTTTTAAAAGCAATTTAATAATTAGAGTTTGTGGGGAAACATGCATAGAGTTCAGTGGAAAAAGAGCATATGGTAATGTAAGCCTAATGATAATATTGCTGAGACCTGGGGGAAATCAGAAATATTTGAGCAAGTCCACAGCTAGGACCCTCTACAGAGGCAGAGAGAAAATTCTTCTATGTGATCCAGAAAACAAAAGAAATTGAGAAATTGAGAGTATGCAAAAGGCAGGTAAAAAACTTACTGTAGTACTACTGTAGATGTATTAATGGAAAGTCAGGTAAGTAACACAGATAAGGAACAGAAAAGACTGTTACTTACCAAATTTTAGCTGTTTATTTTTCTCAGTGCTGTAGCCAGATCCCGAAGAATACTGATTGTTTAAAAATGTTCAGCATATGCAGTAGCTGTCCTCTGCAATAGGTAGTTTTACAATGAAGCTATTAATTGCCTCTTCTAACAAATAGATACTTTCTCTGAGTATTTAATGTCCTGAGGAATGTTTCTGGAGTTCGGGGTGGTTCATTGTGCTTTTAAGGGATATATTCTTATTTTCCTGACTGACTGATGATCTCCTTGTTGTCTATGGAGTAACCTGATAGATGTCTTGCAGGGGAGGGAGTAGTGGTGGGAGTAGGAGTATAGGCTGTTGCTTCTTATCAGTCATATAAAAAAGTGAGGAATGTTTTAGTCCTCTCAATGAAAACATTGCGTAGATCAAACTTTATCTATTCAAGAAAAAGAAAGGTTACTAGAAACAGAATATTTTCTGCAGGAGGAATATTTCAGTTCTGCACAACTCTGGTAACAATAAAGCTTCAACTTTTTCTCTAATTCTAGAAGGAGTACATGGTTGTAAAAAAAAAAAAAAAAAAAAAAGAAGACAAATTCATTAGGTGCCGCAAGTGGAAAACCAGTATATTGTGGTGTTATCACTATGAGATGAAGTTGCTTGAGAATCATTTTCTTCCAGGAGTCTTTTTTTATCTAATCTCTACATCTTTTTTGTTTCTGTTAGGAGGAAGGGTCTGGTCTCATTGCTTTATTTCAAATGGGACAGCATTCTTATGTAATAAACTTTGAGAAGCAATACACAGAGTTTTAATAGAGAGGGATTTTCTCCCCCCCCCCCCGATGATTTCTTGGGTTTAAACAAAAATAATCCAATTATTTGTGTGTGTGACAGGAATCCTTTCTTTCATTTTATTGAAGAGTAATACTTAGAGAAAAACAATACTAAGTACTGACAATAAACCCTGCATTTCACAGGCAGTCATTTTATATCAAGCAAAACCTGGGGTAAAAATCAGTAAAAACAACTCCCAGGGTTTACTTGACACGTTCCTAGATGAAAAAAAAAAATGTTTTTTGCATTCCTTCCAGTTAAAACAACCTGGGCTATAGGTAGTTCTTTAAGGATTAGTTACTACACTTTTAGGATTAATTACTACACTTTGTTGTTAACTGAGCTTTGTTGCAGTTTTTAGTAATTGATGAACATTTGTGCATATTGTAATTTGTTGTGCTTCTTAGTGGATAAATAATCTGATAAGGGTTGATGGAACCTGATAAGTAAAGAAAAGAAAATATCTGCCTTGCTTATCTGTGTTCTCATTTCTGAGGTGGTTGTAAGCATGTGAGTTAGTCTGCTGTATTAGAATATCCATATCCCTCTTTTATTTTTCTTTCTTACTTTTTTTTTTTAAGATGGAATTTCGCTTATGCTCAAAAGGTAACAAAGGTGTTACTTGTTCACAGAAACTTGAGTACTTTCTTCTTCTGTCCGTTTGCACTAATGGGTCATAATCTTCTGCCACATCATAGCTTAAACATTATAACAGATGTGCTGTTTCAGGTTTATGATGTGTCAGAGAGAGGATTGGGCCTTTTAGGTTGAACAAGGGAACTGTTAATGAACTCCTGTGCTTTGTTGTTTCGGGGTTTTTTTTCCTTCAGGAACATTAGAAATATATATTGCTTTAACTTACTGCAAATCCTTGCTGTTTCTCTTTATCGTAATTTTTACAGGTGCATAAGTCATGTAATTTTGTTTTCTTTTTGGCTTCATGAAGAAGGAATCTCTTAAAGTTTAGCTTCCCTCTAAGGATGACAATTAATGATAAAAGTAGTTGTCTCTGTATGTTTTCTAATCCCTTATATGTCCTTTACATGATGCTGCAAATTCATACATGGCTTTTACTGCTTGGAAAGTGCAGTTGTGTGCCAAGGGGCAATGTGTGTTAAACCAGTTCTAGTCACATACCTTTTGTTTCATGCCTTCTAGTTTATCTCTGAGAAGTAGTGTTCAGGCTTGCTTGTCTACTTGCACCTCAGTTCCCCTGTTTAACTACCATTTTTGAGTTTTATTTTTTCATACAACTGGCTCTTATGTTCTCATTGCTCAGTCTAGTTAATCCTTTCTGTACATTCACTGCCTTTCAGTTGATTGCCTGTTGTACAGCTTTAAGCACTATTTTTTGACAGACTCTTAAGACTTTTTTTTTTGTATTTTACTCCACATTGTGGTGCATGTTTTGTTTTAACATAAATTTCTATCAGTTCAATTTTATTCTTACGATATAAGGACATGGTTTAATTAGTTAAGATGTTGCAGTGGTTATTTTTAATGGGCTGGTGCTTAAGTGCTTTAATCCTTTTACTGATTTAAAGTACTTATGTGAAGTTAGGTTTTACTGGGGAATGTCTGCAAAATGTAACCTTGGAATCGACCTGTCTTTTTAGTTAAGCGCAATTAATTACATACAGTTGCTGTGACTTTCACCAACAGGGAAGCTTGTTTAGAACAAAATTTAAAAATTATTTTAAGAGATACAGAGAAGAATAGGAGAAATAATACAGTTTTGCAAGTCACGTGAATTTAAATAGCTGTCTTAAAAGCTCTGTTTTCTCTTACTTCACTGACCTCTTCCAAGCTGAAAAGACAAAGGCACCATTTAAGAAGTGTGTGTGCATATTGGGGTAGGAGTGTTTGCTGTCTGTTCCCCAGTGTATCTGTTAAACAAATTATCAGTATTTTGTATTCATTGCTATTTTCACTTAAAGGTTTTAAAACTGAGTGGATTCTTAATTATGTTCTTATAAATTCCATGTTTAAAAATATCCTAACAACTAATTACAATGGATAGCTGTAGGAGTTAAAGCAACTGAACAGTAACATAGAAGTCTTAATTTTCAACTCTTGAGATTTGTCTTGTAGTCTGTCTCTCTTAATTCTTCCTGATAGGTGAGGCGTTTAAATTCTGCTTATGTATAGATAATATACGTAACAAGCTCAGTACTATTCATCCTTGATTCTTGCTTGTAGTAGACAATCACAGTAATCTGGTATTTCATTTTTCAGCTTTTACAAGAAGCTGAAGGATGGGGTGAACGATTTAGTGAACTCAATGAACAAACAAAGATGTTTGAATCATCTAAAGCAGATGTAGAAGATGTTTTGAAAAACAAAGAGAGTCAAATCAAGGTAAATGATGACATTTAGCATTGAATCAAATTATTCAGGCTGATGCTAATCATCAACTTGCAAGAAAGCCTGACAACCTCTCCTTGTCTTAATATGCATTAAGCAGTTTTGGGGTTTTGTTTGCTGTCTCCGTTCTTAAATGTCTTGTATTCTGCTAAGCAAAAAAAGGTTGCTTAGCAGCACAGTGGAGCAGTCTGGTAGCCTGGGAAGCCAGCGCGACAAATAAGGAAAAACTTTTAATTCTGATAGAGTTTGTTTCATTGGGTTTTTTTAAGTGTGGAGCACAGTTGTTGGGTGTACCTTACGTACACAAGCCTTGCTAAAAATATGCATGCTTGGCTGTTTGATAATTCTTCACAAGGACATGCCTGTTGACCTGCTGATACATGTTTTGATAGAAAAAGTAATATCGGACATCTAGAATCCTGTATATGGGGCTCACTTAATCTACTAAAGGAACTAAATAAAGGACAGAAATCCTGCAAAGCAATTGTAATGGTAACTACATTTTCATTGCTTATATTTTTTTTCATTGTGGATTCTTTTTGGGCTTTTTCTTAGTCACTGACACAATATATACTGAACATGAAAGACTGGAGTTCAGCAGTAAGAGAAGATGGTGATTCTGAAGACAGTCACTGGGACACAGATACAAAGGGTGAGACAGAGAACGGAGAGCATTTAGGTATGGTTTGTAAAGCTTCCAACTTAAATATTTAATAGATGTTTTAGAAATACAGAACCAACAAACTTGCAGAAAAGCTGAAAGATTGGCTTTGTGGAAGTTAGATATTTAAATCTCACCCACTGTTACTCATGTTGGATAGTTAACTGATGCTTAGACACTTCTGGAATAATGACCTATCCTACTGTTTACCAGTGTGTGGCATACATACTAGCACAGACCAGAATAAAGACTCAGTGTTCAGTCTCTTGCAGAATGACTTTAGCCTGTATGAGTATTAAGCATTCTCTGGGATTTTTAGGCAGAAGCTTTGCTTTAATTTCTTCTTCAAGCTCCTCCTAGCACTGGGGGTCATTAGAGCCTAATTTCCGCTTCCTTGTCCTTACAGAGTGTTACTTGTTGCAGGCAGTGTGGTAGCACTGGAATTGGATGAGTGTAGATATGGGTCCCCTTAAATAGCAGCCCATAAGAGCCCTTCTTCCTCCTGTTGCTTGCTGCAACTTCTTTTTATGTTGGTACTTATTGTACCATAGGGCACATCCCTGTAAAACTTAACAGTTTTAACATGAGCAATCTGAGTTGTGATTGATGGGCAGAAGCAGCGCTACAATACAGGCATATCTCCTCCCCAGCTCCTGCTTTTTTTTTTTTTTCCCTTTATCCTCAAAGTGTGCTGTGCCTGTCATGGTATGTTGGCATTACTTTTGTATAAAAGCAACATAAAATAATAGCAGTAAGCTCTGTCACAAACCTTTTTGTGCTTTTTATGTGACATGTTATTCTATTCCTTCAATCAGATGATGAGCAAAAACGAACTGTAAAAAAATTGATCTATGCTGCAAAGGTATGTGATTTGAAGAAACTTGTGAATGTAAGGGGGGAAGGTAGAGGAAATATATGCAATTAATATGGTAATACCAGTATTGTAGTTCAGAATCTTTTAATGTTTAATTAGATATTTTTGCATGCAAACAGTTTCTGGTAATCTTAAAATGCTCTTTTTTTTAAATTTTGATTGTAGTTAAATGCTTGTTTAAAAACCATGGAAGCAGAAAGAGATCAAATGTATTCAAAACTGTCTGATGAAAGTAAAGCTAAAGAAGAACTTACAGGTAATTAAATGTTGTTTTACCTTTAAGATTAATAAGATGCTGCCTTTGTAAAATGGTGTTACAGGCTGTATTACTTCCAGTAAAAACTAAATTAACTTTATATTAATAACTACTTGATTTTTAAAATTCCTGTATGAATTGCTTAGCTATTTTAAATATATCATTTTACAGATAAAGCAATTGAAGCTGCAGATTTGTTGTACTGTATTTGAATATTTTGTAGCTATTAAGTTATAGGATTTTAAAATACATGGGCAAAGAGATGTCAATATATAATACCTCCTTTGCATAATTTCTGGACATAAAACAATGGAGTTGTAATCTAAATTTTAAAACCATCTATTAAAACAGTAGCTTAATTGTAGTTAGTTTGTAATGGGTGCAAGTTCAATACTTCTTAAAATTACAAAATACGGCATTTGGAGAATTAAAAGCATCTTGATCTGGTTTTTTTCCTTTGTTGTGTAGGACATACTAAATTAAACCTTATGAAATGAAAACACTGCCACTCTAGTTCAAATTAAAGCCTGTAATTAGCTATTACTTTTATAATCACAGTCAACAGAGTGGCCATCACATTTGAATGTACTGCACTTTGTTATTTGGGTGATGAAATGCTCTGTAAGACTGTATTCTTCAGTTTCTAATAGTCCTTTAAACAAACTGTTTAAAGATAGTCCTTGTGCTAGTGTGTTTTCTCAGTTGATTGTAGCTCTGTCCCATAAAGATACTCCAACTTACTTGAAGCTTTGTTATGTTTCTTGAAAAGAGGCACAGGAATAGTAAATAGGAAAAGAAACATGACAATTTAATTTGGAAAGATAAAGGGAGTTTGACAAATATGAGTTAACTCTTCAGGCTATTCAGGAAGACCTTGTGTGAGTAAATCTGCAAGAGTGTGTGTGGTGGTACCAATTTCACTTCTTTAGTCAAATAATGACACTAATAAGAGTCCTAAAAGAAAACCTGTATTGTGAATTACAAAACTGCATTGCTTTCAAAGTTATACAGTTTGGAGCAAAGACTAGATCATACACAGAGCTGCACTTTGTGGCAGGTAGAGTGTAGTTGCTGGTTTCTCATTTTGTATAAAATATTGAAATATATTAATATTAAATCAAATAGGATCAAAGGTTTTTACAGACTTCTTGTACACTAAAATATTGCAAAGATGTTATCCCAATGTAATTATATATCTCTAAATTTGACAGAACGCATAGAAAACCTTCAAAGTCAACAAGCTTCCTTGCAGTCTGAAAATGAACGTTTTGAAAGTGAAGTTCAAAAGCTTCAGCAGAAACTTAAAGTAATGACTGAGCTTTATCAAGAAAATGAAATGAAACTACACAGGTGCTGGTTCCTTTTTTTTTGTATTCAAAGCTTACTTTTTTATTTGAATGTAACTCTTTGATTTGGGGGACTGAAAATTATTGAAATTTTGAATATGGTTTCCCAGAATTTTCTGAATTGTGAAGACACAATTTGTAACACCTTCAGTTCATTTGTGATCACAGTAATTTTATAGAACTTGTTTCCATGAAATAGTGGTATACTATTTTAGGACTTTCCCACAAGCAAGTACAGAAACAAAGAGTAACAGATTTTTAATCTATGAAATCAGGCTAGTAAAGTAGGAAAGCTTGATTATTTTTTTAAAATTAAATTATTACGTAATGTAATACAGCTGTCAAAGTTGCTGAAAGAAAATCAGTAGGTACTTTAAGTGTGAGATACATTTTATATAGTAAAGAGAGCTGGTAGTGTCAGAGGAGTGATGATATTTGTAAAACTAAAAGTTAAAACATAGGCAAGCTCTTGTCAGTAAGCAGGGTAGAATCCCTGTGAGTCAGGCTTTCCTCACCAAGAAAAACCAAATGTGAGGGCTGTGCTATCTGCTTCACAGTCAGGATGGTATCAGAAGTATGTACAGGACTAGAAATAAAAGTTGATTAGTTGATTAGGGGCATGTAGTAACCTTCAGAGGTGTGTGCGTGTATTGGGCAGGGTGGGGGCAGGGTGCATCATTTTAGGGCATGATGGTAAAATTACAGTTTTAGTAACCAGAAATGGTTTCTTCAAAGAGAAGAAGTAGACTTGAAGGCAGCAAGAGAATCAGCTCAAGAGTACATCCTGTACTGAGCAGTATGCAGGACCTTTTGAAAGTATTAGTTGCAGTAATCTGCTCTGTAGTGTATAAATTTATGTAGATATTTAGCATCTTTGTGGACACAACAAATCCTAGAAATCCACTACATTAACATTTGATTTTTTAAAAAGCGCAGGGAGGGAGTGGGAAGGAACCTATTAAAAAGAACATATGATAAGTAGTCAGAAAGGAAATATGTTTGCAGACTGTGGGGATGATATTTAAAATTACTTCAGTAAAGCTCAGAAAATGTGCAGTGCTTACCAAATAATTTTAGAAAAGCCAAAAAGGAGTAGGGAGAAGCTGGTGTGCTGAGATAGCAGCACAAAAGAGGCTATTAGCATCAAAATGGCATCTTTTAAAAAACTCCCTCTGTTCAAACAAGGGAAATAGAAAAGTAGGAAATGAAGACTGAGTAGAAAACAAGTTTAAATCATGTTCACAAGATCCATGATTTAGACAGCTTGATTGCTAAGAATGGTGTTTATGGGAAAATGACCAGTTTATCCATTTAGGGCTATGTGTACCAGTAGCATCAGTGTGTTCTGCCGAATGACCTTGTGCATAATCTGTGGCCTGGAGTATGGGTTTTCTCTCCTGTAGTGCCCGATAAGGCATAAAAAAAGAGGGACCTGGAAAGACTTTTTTTTTTTTTTTTTTTTTTTAACAGCTAGTAATAATCTTTTTTTTCCTCCAGAAAATTACTTTAAAAATAATTTGTTTTAACCAGAACAAATCGCTGACCGTTAGTGTAGTTTGGGGTTTAGTTTGTTTGTTTTGATTTGAGGCTGCTTTCAGAATTGTTGACTTGAAACAAAACTAACCATAGGTTTTGAATTTTTTTTAAAGGAAGCTGACAGTAGAAGAGAGGGAGCGTTTACAGAAGGAAGAAAAGCTTTCTAAAGTAGATGAAAAAATTAGTCATGCTGCTGAAGAACTAAACAGCTACAGGTAATTGCAGATTTTAGTTGCTGTAATCACTTGTTCCAAAGTGAAGCAAGTGCAATAGAGAATTAATAAAAACACCAGCACAAGTAGATGCTCTTGTTCTAGTTATTATTCTGCTTTCTTTGTGAGGGGGTGTGTGTGCATTACATGCTAGATTGTGTGTAATAATACAAACTAAGGTGGTTTTTGCTTTGTTTGAACATTTGGGTGTTAAAGATTACTAGCAGCTTCTCTTCCATTAGCATGCCAATTGTATGGATATGTTAGCTTTAATGCTGTGATACAAGTGGGTCTCTAATCTAATTGCCTGTACTGAACAGAGATAAAAATATTCATTTAAGAGAATGATGTGAAATAAATGTAATGTTTAGTTTTCATATAGAACTAACATTTATTCTGTATAGTTATAGCATTCTATTTTGGTATCTCAAAGCTTGTCAAATAGTTCTCTTAGAAATTCTGTACTAAAATAGTGTGATGGGGGAATATATTCTCTACCTTTTTTTTACTGCTTTGCTCTGTTTTGTGTTACACCACAATACCTCTGGTTTCTTGCTGCATTTTCTCAAACTATGGTATAATGTTTCAATATGAAATGTATATTTGCCATCTTACTTCAATGTTTTAGGAGTATTAGCTCTAACTGAACAATAGTGATCAATAATGCTTCCTGAAGAGTTAATTAGATTAATTCTTTCTCTAGAATGTAAAGTGCTTATAGACATTCTTCAGTATTCATACAGGAAGACAGAATTCACCCTTCTTGATTTACTCAGAACATGAACTTTGTAGACATCTTGATTTTAAAGGGAATATTAATATTGGAAATGGAGTATAACTAAGCAATGCATGTGTCTTTGGCCCACCTCCTGAGAGAGCGTAGAACCTAGAGAGGCTGTGCACAGGGTAGCTGGCAGCAAAGGTGGCATCGTACTGACAGAGGTCGTGAAATAACTCTAGTGCAAGTGCCCCTCAGGACTGGCTGTGGTAGCCTGTGGCATCCTGGTGCTCCAGCAACACTGTTACCTGCGCTGAGCTGGGAGAGGCTGGCTCTTAGGAGATACGTGGAAGGATGTACTTTATACTGGAAACATTGCAAACCACCGAAAAGTTGTGAGATGTTGGGGTTTTCGGTTCTGTTCTTTTGTTCACATTCCTGTTTGCACTAATCTAGTGGCCTAGAATTTCTGCTGCTACTATAATTTTTGTGTATCTAATGGCCGTAAGTGACAATCCTGTCTTTTGGATAAAAAAGTCTTAAATTATACCTTATGACTACCATTGTGTTTAGTGTATTTAAAGGTACTTTCCACCACATTTTATTACAATGTCATAAATTCTCGTTTTGTTACAGAGAGCGAGCAAAGGATCTTGAAGAAGAGCTAGAAAGAACCATTCGCTCTTACGAGAATCAGGTACGTGCTTTGTGTACCATCTGTGCCAAGTAGGAGGGATGTTATTGCAACTGAAATGCCACTTGTCCTTAGTTTGTGATATTGTATTTGGCTTGGCTTTGTTGGGTGTTTATTTTTGCCTCCCCCTCCCTCTTCTTAATGTCATCTCGTTTTAACTGACACGATTGCATAGCAGAGATCACCAGATAACTGCATTAAAAAGTTAAATTTGAAGTTTAGGTGTCTCACTGTAAATTATCCACACACGTTAAATTTATTAATAAGAGCATGTAATCTTAAGTTTTCCTTTTTAGATGAATAATGAATCTCTCTTTCACAGATTACTTCACATGAGAAAAAAGCTCATGATAATTGGGTAAGTTCCAAATACTGAATTTTCTGAACTTTGTGCATCTTCATTCTTCATTGTTTAAATAGCTTTCTTTATTACTTTTTTTGTTTCTTACTGAAAACATAGTCAAATTATCTCTACCTTATCACTTTTAAACATATGGATTTCTTGCAGAAATACGCAAAAGCGTGTTAAAAATACTTCTGTTATATAAAATAGTTGGAATGATTAAGTCGGATGCCTATGAACACAGTAGAATGATAATCTGGTATTATTTGTTATAGCAATAAATCTGCTGGAAGAACATGACACCATATAACAAATGTGTGACATTTTGCTAATAATAAAAGCTTTTGGCCTTGCTTCAATGCCATTTTGATATTTTCACTGGATGTACTTCACTTCTTTTATCTACTAATAGAATACGTTATGTCCTATGAGAACAGTGTGTTCCACTGACAGCTTCCTAAGAGTGTTTCTACAAAATCCATTTTTACCTTTTTTTTTTTTTTTCAAACAGGAAACTTTAAAATACCTCCTGACTAATAATACATTCTTCAGTTTCACAGAATGGTTTCTAAGATAAAGTCATGCTAAAAGCTACAGTGCTTTGTGGTTGTAATTCTAGAGTTTTTAACTATCTGTTTTTAAAATAAAAGTTTCTTACATAGAACTTGAGTCTTTAAATCTTCTGTATGCTTCAAAGCAGCTACAGCCAAAGAATTTAATTTCTGAAGTTTTAAGAACCTGCAGGAAAGCCTTATCATTCCTCAAAAATTGGGGTTGTAGAGCTGCTGATGTCATTTGCTGATGTACATGAGGGTCCATACGTGAGTCATACCTTGTGAAAATGCAGCCCATGCACTTCACATAGAATGTCTTGTATCTAGGAATTGACATGTTTATGAAGCATTTAATCAATAAATAGCAGCATCTAAGCATCTCATTTTTGTCCTCCCCCAAAGCTGACAGCCCGAGCAGCTGAAAGACATCTTAATGATATAAAAAAAGAAAATGCACATAGCAGACAAAAGTAAGTGCAGTCCTGCTCTACTTCTAAAGAAATGCAGTTTGGATGTAAACATGTTTAGGATTTATGTAATTTGATGTTTTTAGATCTGTGTTAATGAATTGTGGCCCAAACAGGGCAGAGAAATCACAGTGTTCCATTCAAGTTCTGAAAGAAAGGGAGTCATTTGAGCTTTTCTGTGATTATGACATGCAAGAAAGTAAGAACTTAGGAACTATGTGAAGTATTGAAATATTTCAGGAAAGAAGCAGAATGTAGTAGTAGAATACAAATGTTTTGGAGGTTTATTTTTTGTTTCAAAGAAGTAAGTATCAACCAGATGTCAGGGTTATCTAATGATTTTACAGCTTATCTCAGAAGTTAAAACTGAGCTAACAGATCAAGAGGTGGTAGTTGAGAGGAACCTTTAGGTATGAAGTTAACTAATATTTGGAATGCAGTTAGAGTGATGTCATACTAGGAAAGTGACATCTAACATGTCACTTCAGCTTCTGAATTACATTTTAAGTACAGCAGCATAGAGAAGTACTTTCAAGCATTTTTAAGTTCAGAGTTCTCTGACATCCTTTGTCTTTTTTCATTTTAGTTAGGCAATAAAATACCTTGCTTCATTAATTAGTTAACTAGAAAGCCTAGCAGTAAACAGTGTAGTCTGGTAATGCTTTTGTACTTCTTGTTCATTTACTACTTATTTGTTATTTATTTACAGATTAACTGAAGCAGAATTTAAACTTGAACTTTTAGAAAAAGATCCTTATGCTCTTGATGTTCCAGTTAGACCATTTGTCAGAGGTACAGTATTGAACTGTAAAATAGAACCTGATTGTTTTGGTTTATGGTTTTGTTTCCCAAGACCACACATGTGTAATTGTTTGAAAACTATCTTGGCCATGTGCATGTACAAATGCCAGTCATTTTAAATATAACTGGGTCAGAAGTGACTCTAGGTCATGTCAAGTATTTTGTAGAAACTAAGAGCATTTGTAGTATTGATGAGAGTAGACTTATGAATATGTTACACATGGTAATTAGAGCAGAATTTTCATTTCACTTACACAATTTAGTTTTTAACTTCACCTGAGAAGTTATACATACAGTTTGCTAAACTAAGTATTGTGAACTTGAGTATTTTGTTTTAACTGTTCCAGAGCATTCCCCATATGGACCCTCACCAATGGGCCGGCCTTCATCTGAAACAAGAGCTTTTCTTTCCCCTCCAACTTTATTGGAGGGTCCTTTAAGGCTTTCACCTATGCTTCCAGGTGGAGGAGGAGGAAGAGGTACAATTCTTAAACTTGAAAATTTATCTATTCTGGATTTCTCTCTCCTCTCCTATAAACCTGTCACACCTTTTCCTCTTGCTTGTGACAAAAAGTATTAAAATAGCCAATTCAACATAAACAGTTAATTGGACAAACTCTTCCTGTTTTTCAACTTGCTTCTAAAGCTGTTTAATGTCTAACAGTACAACAGAAAATCTAGTTGTTACTGGAGGGCTGGTCAATGGATTCACTTTAGAAGCATAAATTAAGAAAAGTGAAAAGCCAAACTTAATCAGTTGTCTTGAATTTCTTGGACAAATGGGGTTCTGCTGAAATAGCCATGATTTTAAAGTAAACAAGAGTCAATTAGTTATCTGAAGAAAGAATGCTGCCACTTCCATCTCACTGGTCTGCAATCACTGAGAGGCTGTTTTCAAAAACATGAGGCAATTGTATTGGGGGTAGTGATACTAGAAAGTTACTGGTTCAGTAAATCGTTTCCCTTCCCTTTGTTCTAAATTTGAGGCAGTCATCATACGTGGAGAACATTTCTTCCCTAGTGATAAAAGGGACCAGGGAGGTCTTGTGTAAGGAGTACAATTCGGAGAATGGTGAAAGCAAGCTGAGGTGTCATGGGTTGTAAGGGAAGAAAAACACTGTTCATCCATATTTTTGATGTTGATGGAAATTGTAGATAAATGCCAGAGTGGAATTCAGCATCTGTTACAAGGAATAAAGAAGCTGCTATTTAATTAGCTACTACCATTACACCCATTGAAGGCTATACTTAATTAATTGGAAGTATGTCCAAATGTCTCGTCTATAAGAATTTCAATGATTAATACTGATTTTTAAAAGACTAGAAGGGACTGTTTATTTACTTTAATTCTATGTAAAAAACATATCCAGGTGCATATAAAAGTTGATTCATTTTCTGAGTCAGAAAAGCTTTGATGTTCAACTGTACCTATACCACACACAAGCGAAATTGTAGTTGACAATGTATTTCTATCGAGCCAGTAATGAAACTGAGCTGTCCAGTGTATCTTTAAACTGTGGCTCAGCTGTTGTTGGTGATGAAGAGTAAATACTGGGTTTCAGGATGCAGCAAGGGAAGAGACCATGCAAAAGCCTAACTGCTGCCCAGTTCACAATGGAGCACTGATGTAACTTAGTTTAAACAAATGATGTGTTTAATGGTAGCTGCAGAGCAATTTTAGTACTCATCTCACAGTACACAAGACACACAATGGCTTCAAACTTTAGGTTGAATTTTAGCGTGGAGAATTAGAGAATAATACCAGAATTCAGTATTTTTGTCTTTTTTCAGACCTAGTCTATTTTAAAGGAAGCTTGCAATTTGAAATCACTCATTTTTACAGTTTTTATTGCACTTAGTTATGTGTTGACCTGCTCTTATCTTTTTTGTTTGTTTGTTTCTCCTTGAATAAAGAATTAGAAAGAACCAGAAGAGTATTGAATGTAATGCGGGTATTTTACAATACTGGTATTAACTCTTGATGTCCTAAATTTTAGTTTTACAAGTATCAGGTTTTTATCACTGTGAAGAAGATTTATCATGAGGTACTAGTTTCTGATTTGAATGAACCAAGACTTGTAAAATTATCAGTTTTTTAGAAAGCATTGCAGGTCCTCTAGATTGTGCTCTTCCTGAACTCAGACTTTTTCATTGCAAACTTCTAAACACTTCTAATAGACATAGCTGGTCAAACAGCTGGAGTGTCCTGTGGAGCCATGCGCCTCTCATATCTTGACAGTGTTGGCATTTCATGATTTATTTTACTATTTTCAGATTTAATGAAGAAAGCCATAATAGAGGATTTAAAATACCAGGATAAATAACTATCTGATTACTTTGATTAGGATCCAGAGGACCATCTGCCATGTATGAACCTGGTAGCGAAAGAGGAGAGCTGAGTTCTGATAGATTAACTGATCCCCACAGACCACCATCAGATACTGGATCCCTGTCTCCTCCTTGGGAGAGAGAACGCAGGATAATTCTGCCTCCACCAGGTATAAAAGTCTGCTTAGCTACTGTATCCATGAAAAAATGGAGTTACTGACTTGCAATATATATATTTAAGTATATTTTGCTTAAAAATATGAAATGTTTTCTTGGACCTGCACATGCGACTGCACTGGAAGGGTTTTCTAACAGGATTTTAATTCTGCTTCTTGAATGGTGAGGTTCACTTGCACTTCTCCTGTTCTAATATATATCAGTGTTAGCAGGGTACAATCAGCTGCTTGGTTTCATTATTTCACTGGGAGTTTGTTTAGTGCATCCCTCTCTAGGATGCATAGTTAATAAGAGATCTGAGAATTAAAAAGTTTTAATTTATTTTAATAAATAAATAAACACTAGCTAATGTTGAAAAATACTATTTTTTTTTTTAAATTATATTAATAGTACAGGAGTACCATGGTACAGTCATCCTGTCTTGGCACATATTTTCCTGTTGATACTGTCTCTTTGATGATTAACAGCAACAAAATCAGTCTTCACTCTCACTTCTTCAGCTAAACATCTCTATTATGCTTTACCACTCAGGGAAGGCAGAAATGAGTCAAAGAGAATTCTACTGATACTTCTCCAGTAAAATCTTGGGGGGGATGGACAACCTTCCTGTATACCTGTAATAAAGAAGGAAAAATATTACAAGTTTAGAAAAAATAAAAATTTAGGTAACACACACAGATTAAAGTACCTCAATTATTGGATGCAGCAAGCAGTATTGTAGTTGCTACACATCTGTGTGAAAGCCTGATGATAAAAGTCTGCTTAGGATGCAGTTTCTCATTTGCCAGATCTGATCTGTTGACAGGATACTGCAGAAAGGTAATCTTGTTTCCTAGACCTGTGCTGTGTTCTTAGCCCATCTTTGCACTTGGATCTCACTGATACAGTTTGTCCTGTAGCTGCATGATTGATTGATAGATCTGATGCCAGCAAGTTGGTGAAAATATAGCACAACAAAACATAATGGAAAACAGCATTCTCACCGAAGAATGGCTTAAAAAATAGAGTATCTTATTTTGTCTTTGATCTTTTTTGCTATGCTGAACCTTTGTTTCAAGGCCCTGCTGTTTATAATGTAGGCAATCATAATTTTAAAAGTTCTGCTGTTATGTTAAACCAAAAATCAACAAACTTTCTCTTTTGCAGCTCCTGAGAGACATAAGCTATTGTATATACTTGGTGGGATTCCTGTGTTTGGGTTATTTAAGATTTGTTTGCTCCCCTTGACTCATAGACACAAGAGAATCTTGCTGGCCTAAAATTGTATGGAATGGGAGGAATAAATTTTCACTGACCTGTTCTGTGATTTCTTCAATGATAGGTGAGCCTTATGCTGACCCAGTTCTTCCGCCTCGAAGACAAGAAAGATTTTTCCCTAATCCTCCAAATACTGGAAGACTTTCAGGACCAGCAGAACTACGAACCTACAATATGCAGTCTTTTGATAAAACAGGTGGGAATTGCTTCCATGATACTATCAAATGGAGAATCTCAGTAAGCTGACTATGCGTGGTAAGCCATGGCAAGAGGAATCTTTATAGCTACCACAGACCTGCAGTTCCCTTGTGTAAAAACATTGTAGCACCTGCTAATCAAGGTGCAGTCTTTCCCTATTGCCGGTAGCCCTCCCTGCTGTCAGGTGGATGGGATTCCGTGAATGGTAGTCATGAGGTATCTTTTTGGTCCACCTTCACTGTTCTGTGCGTTTTGAGTCTTCTTTGGCCCCTCCTGTGAGGCTCACCAAAGCATTAAAATATCACCAACCTGCACTTGCATTTCCATGCCACATTTGGTATGTTAGGTAGAGTTAGAATCACTACGAGTGAAAGAAAACCAGCAAACTTTCCGAGTATCCACTGGCTTGGCGCGTGGAAGGAGAAGGTCCTGAGGCCTCTTCCTTCAAACTGTTGACCATACTGGCAGCTTTTTGTAGTTCACAGTGCAGTTGCCTCCAACTTAATCACACTTTTCACTGACCCAAGTACCACTAGTTTTGAATTGCCCAGTTATGTACATTCTAGCAGAGGGCGCTTAGCAACTGCCAGAAGCTCAGAGGCAAAGTTTTGGTGACTGAAACAGTTTAAGAGCTTAAAACTCATTAAGCAGTTTTTGTCCTTATGTAATACCTGGTAAGTTACATGTGTCTGATTCCTCAGGGAGGTGAAGCTGTTAAACTTGCAACAGAAACTTCAACACTCGGTTACTGATATGAGTGTAGTCAGGTACCCATCCTTGTTGCACTGTGTCTGCCATAGGAGAGAGAACCTTTGTTACTTGGTATCATAATGTGAGAACTGGGAATGCTGAATTTAGTTTCAGGTTGAAGGTTCAGGTGTTACAGTGAATTGTTCTTTATTGGAAGACGGTTGTGTCCCTGTACAGTTACTCAACTTCCCTCTTTCCCAAGCCTCCCATGTGTTTCACTTCTGCTTTCTAATACTTCCTGTTCCACTGAGGTCTTTCTTCTAGTACCTGGATGCTGACTGAAGGACAAGAGAGGTGCACTGTCTTTGCACTTACTTATTGCATCCATTTTTATCCCTTTCTTCAGTCGCTGCCAAGCAACAATTAATTAATTTTTTTTAAATGATGTATTCATTTCTTGGGCAAAACCTCCGTGTTGCTTTTTAAAGACATCAAATTTCACTAGATTTGGGTATGTGTAAAAAAAAAAAAAAGAAAACCCCCTTCAATTAAACAACCAAGCAAACAAAAAGCAGCCCATCCAGCACCTACAGCACATACCATCTGACTTTGGAACAGCAGTGTGTCTCACAGTAGTGAAATCCAGGTTCCAAATCTAAAGAGACAATGAGTTACTCTAACTCAGGAAGATTATTAAATGTTGTTTAAAGTGAACAAAATAATATGCATTTTCCTAAGCTGGGGTGGCAAATTCTATAAAAACTTTCCACTTGAGGTACCTGAAGCAGGAAGCTCCTTGTCAGAAAGGAGAGTTAAAGGTTGACAGTTTGTGAGCAACTTCACAAGGACTTAAAATGGAAAGTGTTACGGAACCTAAGTATCAAGGCACAAATATTCTCTCTGTGACATAAGGAGTCGAAATGTTTCATATGGTTAAGTAACAATATCAACAAAGGCAGGGCCTGCTTGAAATGACAAGTAATTTAGATTATTTTTAAAAGAGCTACCTATTCATTGAGGAAAGAGCTTTGTTTGCTTTCAAGGAGTAGAAATACAACATGTACATGAAAATTCTGTCACTAGTTAGAAGTATTGTTTTGGTCTTGTGTTTTTTAGTATAATCATGTCTGTTCAAGCTGAACTGTAACAAAAGCAATCTTTTTCAAATCTTAGGTTTGGGGGGTTGTTTGGTTGGGTTTTTTTAGGGTTGGTTTGTTAAAGAAAGTGCATGTAATGTCTATATTTAGTATATTTATATCCAGTCAGATTCTATCTCTGACACTTCCCTTTAATAATTTTCTCCAGTTGTTACTGAAAATACTTGTACTCAGGGAAGTATAAAAGTAGAAACACTGAAGCTCGTATTTTTCCCTTAAGTTATAAAGCAAGTACAGTAAATGAGAAGATATTATTATAATTTCTAAGTGCTCATCCAAAACTGATGTAGTTCTGAAAGTCTCCTTGATATCTGGCAGCCAAGAGGGAACTGGTTTTTGTCAGACTTTAATAGGATTGGTGTCGAGCTCTATGCCAAGACCATATCATAGTGCAGCCATCCCAGAGTGGAACTTACCACAGAAATAATTTATTAGTAGGAGAGAGGGGGAAGAGGAACTGCTACAGTAATGTTAAGATGTATTGCCAGGAAAAGGGACTTGTAACTTCTAAAAAACCCCTTATTTGGACACAAGAAACTTTGGTAAAAGCTGCAACTTGTACATAAGTTGGAGAAAATCCTCAGGCAAACCTTGGTGTTCCTCAGTTGTTTTTCAGTCCACCTGCAGAGCAGTTGCTTGGTACAGCAGTTTGTTGTTATTGGATCCCGATTTCAGAAAAAAAATACTGAAATAAGTGGTGTAGAGAAAGACAGCACTGAATAACTTAAATTTAACTTTCATATACAGATGGACAAACATCTTCAGAACACAGTCCACGAACAGAACCAAGTGGAGATGGGATGAAGGATCATTCTAACCTTAGTGTAAGTAGTGAAAGAGAAGCTTGATTAACAGAAGCTTTAATTTTCTGCAAAATATTTAGAAACATTTGTCTCTAGTCCATTGGTCATGGTGTGTTGCACTGTGCAGTCCAAATTTTAACATTATATGTATACTTTTATCGCACCACTTATTGACTTGTGAATTAATTTTGATGCATTACTGATATAATCCCCGTTGAAAATTAATTATAACCTAAAAGATGAAACTGGTCAAGCTGATGGTCACTGCCCATAGATAGCCTTGCTCAGGATTATGCTGCAGCTAAGGCAGTGTTGGAACTAGCTCTTAGCTAGTGTCACAGCCTACATGACAGTGGGCCTGAGAGGGTTGGAGACATTCCCTTTCCCTCAGCTAACTTCCCTGGTTTCGCTGTGTTGCAGAACTCACTCCCTGATCAGTCGCTGGTACCTGAAAGCGAAGCTGTCAGTTCAGGGTTTGTGCCCCCACCTTTCCCTCCAGTCAGACCTCCACTGATGCCTGTGGATCCTAGAGCACCACCAGTACCTTTCATGAGACGAGGACCTCCTTTTCCTCCCCCTCCTCCTGCTGGCATGTATGGACCACGGGACTGTTTTCCAGTACGAGACTTTGGGCTTCCGCGCCCTCCGCTGCCAAGTACGTGGCTTTTACCAGCATTTACTTCCAACCTGCTGAACATGAGTGCTTTGTGCAGATAGCGAGTTACCACACTGGGTGAACATATACATCTTTATTTGCACATACTACTTCTTAATTCAGCTGACAGGGAACATCTTTTCTGATTAAGGTTCACGGTGTTGTACACTTCCTTTTTCACAACAGGTTATCTTGATTTTTCACAAATACTAGCTTTGGCTGAAAAATACACCCGCAGATCCTGTTCAGCATTCAAAGGATTCTTTTTTTGGTGTAGGAAAAGTAGCTGGTTACCTTAATCCTTTTCTTCTTAAGAAGTTGAATCATCTATAAATCTTAAAGTTTTGTCCTCTGGCTCTGAGGTGTGCTAGTGTCCATGCAAAGGGAAAAAAACCTGTTTTTTCTTAGAGTTTGCATTAGTGGAGCAAGACATAAATATCAGATGGCAGGGTTTGCTTCTGCCTTCTGCTGTTCTGTGAGCAATCTCTGAAGAACTAAGCCATTTATCTTCCAAAATACCTGTAAGGTGTGGCAGGCAAGGGCTGCTACAGACTGAAGGGGATGTTGGCAGCAGCAGCCCGTTAGCAGGCAGTGACTGGCTGCTGCTGTGAGTCTCTTGTGGGTAACTACTGAGAAAAGTGATTGCTTTGCCTCCTCCTTCCTGGCACCGCTGTCTTTTCAGAGCATAACACGACTTCTATCTAGGTAGGCCTAGCTGAGCAGTAAGACGTGGGGCAAGAGGAGCAGCTGTGTGTTTACTGTTATGATTAATAATAACTGGACTACTCTGATTCTTTCACAGTAAGAAATCCATTTCCAATGAGACCTTATCCTCACTATCCACCTCAACGACCTGGATTTTTGCCTCCACCACCTCCTCCTGAAAATAGAGTTGAACCACCTCAGTCAAATCCATCAGCTGTAGACCAACCAGAACCACACCAGGAGACTTGATGGCCATTTGGGGAATGTGCTGAACCCTTCCTGTGCTCTCCTAATGGTATTTTCCTTATGTTAAGTAACTATTGTTACTTAGGTATATATAAACTACTTTGCTCAAATTGAAGCTTAATAGAGAAAATTCTCAGGATAGTACATTGTAAATAAAGAATGAAATAACTATGAATATTGTGAATAAGTGATTTCCACTGTACAATAGTCATTTTAAATTAAGTATTTCTAACTTGAGTAAGCTCTTCAGAGGTGTATAAAATTAAATCATGTGAACTGTATTGTAAAAGTCAGCTGCTTTGTCCTTGTTGACCTGTACAGGGAGTCTCTCTGCATGCCAAAAGTGGTGCTTGCTGCTTTATGACTAGGATGTGAAAACAAATGGAAACTGTTAATAAAAATCTACAGAAAATGAAAGCAATGTAATTGGTAATGTGATATAATAGAAATAGGGGAAGAGGAATCACCATTGTGCTCCACTGCACTCCCTGTTAGTGACCATGTAGGTGATCTTTCAGCTGTCAGAGCCTTACAAAGTGGCAGTTGTCCTACCATGACATTGGGAGGGAAGGGGAAGTGGAAATGCTGAGCAACTCTCCCATCACTCCTCAAAAGCTGGAGTGGGGTAGTGTTTTACTGAAGATGTGTACAAGAGGTTTTTATGACCTGGGAGGAAGGAGTCATAGCTATGAGATGCTCCAGCACCCTCTGACCCTGGCCTTTGAAGATGTATGTCTGCAGCAAATTAAATTAGGCTGTTTTTCTTTTTTTTACTGTCTCAACGTGAATTTGGTTTATTAGGCTTCAGATTTTAACACCAGTGTTTGGGAAGCTGGGCAGGACAAAAGCAGAATTAAAAAGTACAAGAAGGAAGCGGCAAACTGCAGCATTAGTAAGTGTGTGCCTATAAAAGCATTTGGTGTGTTATCTCACTCACCCCTTCCTGTGAGGTTCCCATTTGCTGCTTCCCTTGCAGAAATGGCTGTCACAAGAGGCACAGTGCACGTAGCTGCAGCCCAGGGCACAGGCTGTCGAGGTTCCAGACAGAGCCAAGCTCTGTTTTTACTGACAACTGTACAGTCTAAAGAGTTCTGGTAGAAGCTGTGCTGGCTGTTCTGACAGCTTGGCTTTGACTTGAAAACAACGTAAGGACTCAATGCAATCATTTGCTAAACACCCTTTAAGATAAATAAAGAAGCAAACTGTTTTTAGCAAGATCCCCCCCCTCAGCAGCAGTTCAACCACCAGTCCCCATTCTTTGCATGCACACACACAACACACGGTTTCAGCCTTTAGTACAAATGCTGCCACCACACCCCATAATTAGAAGTTACCAAAAAACCTCCAGCCTACTTTTCTTGTAATTGCTTGGGTCGAGTCTGCCGAGGGAGCTTTTTGTTTTGCAGCTCAGTACTCCTGCTCCTGCTATTATTCCCACCTTTGCTTCTTTCAGCTGCAGAATTCTTCCATGGCTCATTCCTGCAGTTTATTCTCTTTTCTCCTTCTAGTTTAGCCCTCAAAGGCATTTAGATTAGCCTTTGTACAATGACAAGTTCTGACAACAGATATTTTAAAGCATCATCCATGTCAAATTAACTCTTTTTGACTATTGCATCATTTTTAGCCAATTAGTTGTTGCTCTAAATTTGCCTGAAAGACTTCACCAGGATTCTAAAGGGAATTACAAGGTTTTACCCTTATCATCAGCCCTAGGAACAGCCAGAACTGACAACTACAGCCTTACCCCTGCTCAGAGAACCAGTGGATAGCACAGTCCTGTGCTGACAACACTACTATAACCGGTTTTTTTTTGTTTTCCCAACTCACCTGAAGGGTTGCAAAAACTCCTTGGGAGTTTTTCTGAGAAAATAAAGTATTTTCTCTGTATAGGTTAAATATTTGTTCTAGCTTGTAACCAAGTTAACTCTAAAAAAACAATTCTTCCTCCACCAAAACCATCTACCCTGCCCACAATGGTACTGGAAGCTGTAGGCAAAACAAAAGATAGCTGGACTAAGATAATGCAGGACAAGCATGGATTAGATCATCCTGCAGAGAGAATGGCATAATTTCAGACTTTTTCCCCCCTCCAGTAATAGCCCAAAATTTTATTTGCAAATTTGGAAGCAAGCTCAGGTTTAGGCACTAGGAAGCAGCTATCCCGTAAGGTGTATTTAGGTAAACACACCTAATAAATAAATAAAAAGAGAGAACGGTCACACAGAAGTGAGTGTGGGGAAGTCCCTTTCCCCCACCCTCAAAAGAAAAAGCAACCCAGTTTTAGATGAGGGCTTATGTTCCAAGTTCCAGCAGCTAAATCTAGAATGCAGAAGACTAACCTGACAGTGCCATCTCTTCAGGAAAAAAACAACAGAAGTAAAATCCCCTTTGGAATTATGCAAGCTCAAAGTAATTTCACAGGTTGTAAGGTCCCACTCCAAATGCAAATGCACTTTCCACATTAGGAGCATCTTAGTTTCTTAACCCTTGATTTCAGATTGCTTCATCTTGAAACCCTTCATCCTGGTATCACTAATGCAGGCTACTGGTGAAAACACAGGCAGACAAGAGATGAGAACAATCAGAGGTGCCTTTCTCCAACCACTGCTCAAGGTGTGGCTTTCACCACACACTCCTGCCTTACTGCACTCTCTACTCTTGTCAATTTAAGAACATTGACTTCTTCCCTGCAACACAAGCCAAAACCAGTGAGCAGACTTCAGACTGCATGAAAAAAATCAGACCTAGAGTACTAACAATGGACAGCCCTTGATAGCAGCTGATATTAAACATTCTGGCTGTAACTGCAGTAAGTGAAAGGGCTGCACATTTCTACCATAGTAAGGTGAGCTGCTTCTCCTGTTCGTCTTATCTTTCAAGATTAAGTTAATTAAAACAAAGCATAAAATAGGTTAGACTGAACAGAGAAAAAACCTTGTTTATATAATGGAAAGGCAAATGGATTACTTCCTACTCTGGTTAGAAAGGCAGTTACCCATAAAATGCAGTAGCTTGCAGAGAGAAAAATCACCATCCTGCATCTCTGTTTAAACCAGAGGATGCAGCATTTGCTCCATTTGCTTCAGGAAGCTGCACAGAAAAAGCCAGAGATCTTGAACCCTTTACAACCAAACTTCAGGTTCAGACGCTGCTGAGCAATCACTACCAGATTTAACTGCTACATAAACCTCACTCCTGAGGCTGAGCCCTGAAAGACACTGAGACCAAGTTCCTTTCTTTCACTTTACTAGAATATGAAAAGCTGTATTTGCCTTGTCTTTATTACCCACAGCATCTCTTCAGTATGTTGGTAAATGACTGTGCTTACCAAATCTGGAAGATCTGGGAGAGTGCTTGAACAACAAGCAGTGCAGCTCTCACACTTGGCGGCAGTTTGGACTATCATAAGATGAAGTTCAGGAGCTTGAATGAAGTCCGTGCTTGGCATGCACACATGGAACAGCCACTCTGACAAGTCTCACAGCACAGTCAGCCACTGCAGGGCACAGCAGCTCTTCAACAGCTGACCAGACATCTGCAGTTTTCATTCAGGATGCACAGCTGCGTACTCTGAGTACGGATAAAACGTCAAACTGAAGCATTGCAGGTATTCATAATCTATTTAATAGTGGGACACCAAAGAAGTACTACACATTTGTCTTGAGCACATTAGATTTTGATTTAAGCAATTGCAATGGATGCAGTAATTTCCCAAAAATAGTCTTCTATATTCTACAATCCACAGTTTACTGTATCAGTCTAATAGGTCATATAATGATATACTGTTTGTGCTAACTGGTCCGATCTTTAGCAAAGCATCCTTCCCCTTCCGCCACCACCCCAAAATTGTTGACAAAATTCAGCCAAATTAAAAAAAAAATTACTGCATGACTTATTTTAAATTTTTCTGCTGACCTAAACACAATGGGAGCTATCAGTTACACACAGCTTATGAATGATGTTGCGTTTTAATTCTAAAAATCTTCATGCTGACAACAATAAAATATTTTATACAGCGATCAATTTTTAATGCTTTATTCATTGATTAAAAGAATATAACATTTAACATAAACCATACAACATCAGTCATCAATTCAAACATTCAGCTGGTTTCCTTACATTTTCTGTCAGGAGTTTTTTTTTTATCTGATCACATTTATAAGATAAAATCTCACCACATCTGGCATATACACACACTGTGCCAGTGGATTCACTCTACTGATGTACATATAAAATCCGCATGGTATGTGCTCACTGGAGACAAAACAGCGCACACCTGTCAAAAGGTCATTTTAATATAAGATGGTAAAACCATTTGTAAAACACATATAAACTTTTTCCATAAATAGAATCATATCTGGACATCTGTTGCATAAATTGTGTTTTCCAAAGCTTACAATATAGCAGCCAGGTCTCAGCACTGCTGGGCACCCACGTTGGCCACTTACTTTATTATTGCAGACTGTCCTTTAAACATTAAATGCACAACATTCGTACCACTTAAAACTGGGGTCAGGTGGAAGTCTCACAGAGACCACGTCTGTACCGCGGTTGCCCTGAAACAGTTAAATCGGCTTCTAAAGCCTCTCAGATATAACAAGATTTTAAAACATACTTCATGGAATGTTCTTCATGCATCATAGCAGCTCATACCTGTGATAGAACAAGCTTTGTATTTATTTCCTTTCCTTCCTTTACATTCACTATTCACAGTGAAACAGGTGCATGTTTGTTAAGAGTTCTGAGGTTGCTGACTGAGCCACAGCACAGCTGTGTACCACAGGTCGAAATTCGACCTTATATATTACAATCTAGCAGTATCTGGCTGGCCAAAAAGTTGGCCTGCCCCTGCCAGCATGTGGGCACTTCTTCGTTTTTAATCTATTCTTTGGCAGCTGACACAGGCGCTGACAGAGAAAATCCAGTGACTTGGTTGTTAGGGATTTCACGACTAATGTTTGTTTGCAGGTGTAGACCTTTGTATTGAAGTCTTCACTGTTATGTGTTTACCTCATCAGAGTGCACATTCTTGCTTTTTCCTTTTAAACTTTGGCCCAAAGCTAACTTTTAAGGAAGATGACAGAACATGAGAAGAAACAAGGAGGAGTTTGCAAAGAATCCAAAAGACTACACTTATGTAAGTGCAGGTACCTGAACGCTAGTGTTTCACACCGCCGCTTAACAGCTAAGGAAAGCCGAGAATGGAGTTAAGTCATGCTTCAGAATCCGCACGTGAAATAAAGCAAGGTAAGAGTCTTAGAGTGAACAGCCCTGGAGAGACTTCTCGTCCTTTAAGCCTATTAAGTAGCATGCTACTGGATTAAGCACACAATGACAGCATAGAAATCCACTGGACTATGAATATGGGTATTAAAAACAGTTGGCTCCCGAGCACAGGACTCCAATAGCAAAATAATTCAAAATGCAGTTACTCAAGTAAAGTAAAGTTAGCCGGCAACCTCAGACAGCCTTTGGCTGTATCTCTTAAGGTTTGGTAGACAAGTCCATTAACCGTGAAAACCCTAAACACTGCCACTTTCAGCTTCTAAACCAATACCCGACTACGTTCTTTGATCAAGAAGTAGAATACACATATATAATTCTATATAGCTAATACTGATTAAACACAGCACAAAAGGGGTTAATTCACACTACCAAAAAAACATAATAGGACCCTACTTGCATATGTAACCACAGGAATTGTAAATAAGGAGCTAAATGCCTTCACTGAAGCTCTGCATCTCTCTGTAAAAGTGACGGGTTGGCTCAGTGAAGACACTGAGCAGCTCGATGTCCATGACGGCGTGCCAAGGCCGACCCAATCCGAGAGATACTTGCTCAATGAAATTGTGTACTGGATCCACATCCTGATCAGCCAGTTCTCCTTGGTCGAAATCGATGCTTTCTTCTGTGACTTCCAGTACTTTCAGGTCAGAGCCACGAAGACGAGCGATTGCTATAAGATTATGAGCCCAAACAGTGTAACCTAGTGCGAAAGAAAAACAAAAAGTCACTTTGTCATTTTGCTACAAGGCGTCTTCTTACTGTAGAACTTAATACCTGACCATCTCAACATCCTTCTCAATCTATTTTGTCATTTGCCATCTGGCAGAATCCCCCTAGGGCACGGTGGAGGTTTTTTGGTTGCAAAAAAACTTGGAATAAGAAAGTATAAAAATATTTCAGATAGTTTGACCAAGCTTTTCTAGATCTGTTTTTTTCCACCACTTGCAGAACAAGTGGTGGACTACTTCAAGTTATATATACAATTTCAAACCTCCTGTGATCTACTTTGTAGTATAAATAGAATGAAAAAAAGGGAGCAATCAATTATTTTAAGTGAATGCATAAAAGGACTGCTTTAAAACTCTGTTTATGGTAAAAAAAAAACCCTGAAGTTTGCTTTTGTTGTATTAGAGGTAGAGTTAAAAAAAAATACCACCAAACAAACAGAAAACAAACACACACACAAACCAGAAGCCTCTCCAGGTCACTGGAGTATATATATATATATATATAAAATATATAAATAATCTAATATATCTTGTTTTTCTGTCTGAGATTAAACATAATTACAAAGCTTTACTCTCTTCACCTTACATATTGGCATCCCTCTTTAAAAACTCCTACACCCCAGTTACCTATTAGCCTTCTGTGCCCCGGCTAAGGCAAATGCTGAGGTTCTCCTTATTCAGATGCAAACAAGACAGTCAGTCTGGGAACTTCCCTTTTGGGGAGCTCTGCCAAATCAGTCCTTCTACTGCAAAAGGAAAGGCTCATTTCTGCCTCTATCATCACTCTTGCAGGTGCTAAGTCTCTTGGTGAGATGCCCACTTAAATTCCAAGTAAAGCTGCAGTCTGCACAATATTTGAACTGGGAAAGCTAAGCTGCTGAGAAGTAAAAGCTAACTGTGGCTTGGTCTTCCAACAACGCAGCTAACGTGCTCTACATCAAAATGTATCAAGTAAGACAGAGAGTTACAGAGACACAACAGAGAAAAGTAAAAGAAAACAGAATGAAAATTTCTCCTTTATTACTGCATTAGTTTTCTTCAATCTTTAACTATGTTGCTTAGGGTATGTTTTCAACAAAGAAGCCGGCACACATCTATATTGGTTATTCCTGGCATATTAACCATTAGGAATGCATGAATTCCCACAATTTTCATATGCTTGATACTTCACCTCCAACACAAGTGTCCAGATTAAATTAAGTTGCCTGTTAACAACTTCATGTCCCCTCCCTAATAGGGACATTAAACTCAATGGAAAACTCTCCCCACTCTCCTATCAGGACGTGAAGGAGATCACACCTCCTTCCAGTTACCTTGATCATAAAGGAACTTACCAACAAAATCCTTGAAAAAAAGTGCAAGAATAAAGGGACACTTTTGTGGGAAATCATATTGACTTTCCACCTCAAGAAAATCTCGAGGCACCCAAGAAAAGAAGTGTCCTCAAGCATATGTTTTCCCTTCCTCTTTTGGACAGTGGCAGCCAAAATCAAAGCTTTTTCAAAAGCAAACTAATACCAAAAGAGGGAACACATACACACACACACAAAAAGTCTGAGAAATTTGGAAACTGAAGAACAACCACTTCAGGAGACAAGAGAAGAAACCTGAGCACTTAAAAGTGGCACCTTGAACAAAACCATCATCTTTTCCCAAAGGAAGCTTGACAGTGCAATGTGATAAGTGAGCCAGAAAACGTTACACAGTAAACCTCAGAAAACCCAAGCATGAGGCTAAGATGCTGTACTGAGGCATCACAGCATTTCACATATTTCTTCCTAGTAGTGTTCCTCCTGTGCCTCCTTTCTCAAAGAAAGATGCTCATCCTCTAGTACTAGAGAAGTCATATTCATAGCCTACAAAGGACCAGGAGGCATTTATTAGCAGCTCAGTTAGCTTCTGCTGCAAGGAGGGGGTGAAAAGAAGGGTAAAGAATCTGAATTCAAACATAACAGTAAGGTGATATTTGGTCCTTCTCTCCCCCTGGCAGACACAGCACCTCTCCAAAGAAAGATGTAGCAACAACCATTTGCTAGTCAGAACCATCAAAAGACATTTGCTTTCCCAATGCTCTGCACAGACTAACACTTTCTACTGAATAGACATATGCTGATATCAAATGGTATTTACACTAGCTTATGTTTACATGTTTTACAAGCTTTTAAAGTTAGATAATATACTAGAGGACTTCCCTCAGCAGGAGGGTAATTTAAGGTAACAAATAATTCTTTTTTTAAAAGGTCCTCAAACTTGTATCCAAATGTTAAAAGAAACTACTAAAATCCACATCTAGAGTGATGTGGTTGTGTACCAGTATCCAAAATCTGTCACTCCTGGAAACTATAAAGGAGAGACAGCTGAATTGATCATCATTCTTCACTCCCCAACCCCTGCAATGATTTTTCAGTAGAAGACCAAAAAAAAAGAGCAAATACAGCAGGACCTTCTGACTTCAAACAACGGAAATATGAATCTACATCTCCCTCTGCTGAAGGTCTCTCCTGTTTGTGCTGAATGACTGGAGATTAATTCCCCAAAGCAGCCTGAAGAAACAAATTCATTCTTATGCAACACAGTAACAGTCATCACTTAACTCCTTCATGCATCAGCAAACTTTGTCTTGGTAAGCTGATTCCAGCACAAAGAGCATTAGTCTGCATTATTTCAGTTTCAGGTAACTGCTTGTAACTTCTAGCAAGTGCTGTATTGATGACAGAGCTAAATATGAGTACATACTTTTAAAATTTGCAATTATATAGCAAATAAATAGTTGGGATAAACTTAGCTCTGGTATTCCTGGTGAAACCAGTGTACTTAGTGAGGCAACCTCCTCCACATTATATTTTTTTTAGCCTTCATCTGCTGGTAAAGTCTTACCAAACTGGTAAGAAACTTCTTCCCCTCAGCTTTGGAGCACTTAAACCATGTTATTTATCAACAAGAAGCAAAATCATCTAATCCAGCCAGCATATGATCTCAGAGTAAAACAGCAAATGTTTTCAGTGTTCAGTTCACATAACCAGTCACTTAGCGGAACTTGCACAGTGCAGATCACTTCTAGGATAAGCCTCCTGGAAATAAGTTCTTAGTTATCCTCATTTCTGTGAGAAGTCTAATAAAATCCTATGTGACTTCTCAACACAAGTTAGAAAGCCACAAGTATGTTTAAAACTCAAATATTTAACACCTTCAACAACAGCATATAGAGCAACTGTGCAGTAGACTCTGGAACACCACTGCACTAAAACACACCATGATTAGAAAGGCTGAAGTGTTGTAAGCACTTAAAAAGTCACATACTATACCTGTGCAAGGCATTACCTACCATGAACAGCTAGGAGAGACAGTCTTGTGCACCTCCAGGCTAATAAGACAAGTGGATCTTCATTCCGGTTGTCACTAAGATCTGGGAAGGCAGACATATCTACCACATCATTCATTAGTATAAAATGAGTGAGGAACTTGTCATACTGCCTGGATATGAGGTCAACAACAGCCCCTGAAACACAAGTGACATAGCTATCAAAGTGAATCCTCTCTAGGGGGATACTGGGTTTAAGAATCCTTAACATATCATCACTCTTGACATCAAAAGCCATTATATAGACCCGAAGATTAGTGCTGTTGCGAGTCAGCGCCTGCCAATTCTCATCTTTTGGCATATTGTCCAATGACTTGTGCATTATGGAAACACTGTGGACCAGGAGAGACAGTCGATGCAAAGGCACATGGTTGCTGTCAGCCAGGACTCTTGCCATTTCAGCTGTAAAATCACAGAAATCCAAAGCGAGCGAACGCAGATTCACAAAGCGCTCCAATTCGACCGCGGTGATAAGAGTGGTATTACCAGGGATGTGGTTGTCCAATAAGCTCAGATGTTCCATGGTGTTGGCTATGGGGTTTGATAAGGAGGACAGTGATGTGGGAGTTACTATTTGCAGCATTAACCCACAAGACAGCCATTTCAATTGCCTGCTATTGCCTAATATCTCTTCAAACAGCTGTTGAATTCTGCAAGTAAACAAAACAGATAATGATCCTATTAAACATGGCTTAGACTTACCAACCGCATATCATTCCAATTTTTTTTATTCAAGAGTTATTATTCTTTTATTTACAGCCTTATTCTGCAGAAAGGTCCTATTATTATGGTTCTTGCGAACTACAAATGTTATAACCTGACTCCAGACCTCCCACAGTAATTTAACCTTCACTGCATTTAAGAGGTTAAGATTGTTAACTATCTTGAAAAAAAGTTGTACTTTGTCTTTCAAAAACAGTGGCACACCATGAACCTTCACTTCATGTATTTTCCAGCATGTATTTAACACCCTCCCACATACATTTAAGGTTATGCAAATAAGAAAAGCTGTAATGCTTTTAGAACACAGCTCTTGTTTTTAAAAACTACTTCGTATTTGCTAACCTCTCTAGAAGTGCAAATTCAATATGGAAAAAAAGAGCAATTTTCAATGAAAGGTGGCAGAAACTTGACTTTGAGCATAAGTTAGAATGATCTGAAGCTACTTGCTTGACTTTGCTCGTTAAATGGTAAAGAACAAACATGTAAGAATATTCCTTAAATAATTCCAAATGTGCAGCTAACTGGATTTTCAAGTGGTAACAGGTTAAAGTCTTACCAAAACAACTCGAACCCAGTAGCATTTTAATCTCAAATTATCAGTGCCAATGATCATTATGCACTTACTCAGATGCACCCCCCCCTCTACCTCCCCCTTTTCTTTCAGTGAAGAGATGTTCTTTATGTGGGATATTAATTCAAAAAGGCAACAGAAGTATTTTAAATTTTTAATATTAAATGAAAATAGTACAGTCAAACTCCACAAACTTTCTCTATATAATTATTTTTCCAGTCTTCATCCCACAGCTGCTAAGGCTCAAAAGAGTCCTCCTGCACAAATGACAAGTGTTCTTTTAGCATATTAGGACACGTGTGCAGATAAACATTTGATCTCAAACCCTGGTCAGCCAGAAGGAAAGATCAGCATTAAAGGGAAGTGGTTGAGCCAGGCTATGACAGTTCCATGAAACATTCAGAAATAAGATACAAACACTTCCAGTACAAAATGAGCAGAAATCTTTGTGCCTCAAATCAGATAATGGTTTTGCACAGAACACTTTTTCCTTTATTACTATCAATATCTGTATACTTGATACATCTAAGCAAGAACAACATTATAAAGTTGTTATTCTCATAGACAAAAATTTAATGAAGATAACGTCCAGACAAAATCAAAAGTTTAGCCAGTATCCCAACTGACAGCAGGGAAACACTAACACCTTAAGGTGACAGAACAGGGAAAGCACACAGGGATATTTCTTAAACATCTCTCTAGTTACCAAAGCTTTGTAATTCAGACCTCCTGAGCCAGAGGCAGCTTTATATATTTTGCAACTCTCAGGGACTTCAATTCTACAAATTTATCCATGTTCCTCCCTTAGCTGAGCAAGTGTTTAGCAACTATAACATCCAATAATAAAGAACTCTGTAGTGTGATTCCCCCCTCTTCTTGCTTGCTCTAAACCTATCACCTACTACCTTTGATGCCCCATACTCATTCTCTTGTAAGGAAGTCAAAAGATTAGTCCTCATTCATCCTCTCCCTCTGCAAATCTTTATTCATAGAATCATAGAATCAGCTGGGTTGGAAAGAACCTCTGAGATCAAGTCCAACCCTTGATCCAACACCACCGTAGTTAACAGACCATGGCACTCAGTGCCACATCCAGTCTCATCTTAGAAAACTCCAGGGACAGAGAATCCACCACTTCCCTAGGCAGCCCATTCCAATGTCTGATTACACTCTCTGTAAAAAATTTCTTCCTAATATTCAACCTAAACCTCCCCTGGCACAGCTTAAGACCATGCCCTCTTGTCTTACTGACAGCTGCCTGGGAGAAGAGACCGATCCCCACCTGGCTACAACCTCCTCTCAGGTAGTTGTAGAGAGTGATGAGGGCACCCCTGAGCCTCCTCTTCTCCAGGCTAAACAACCCCAGCTCCCTCAGCCTCTCCTCATAGGACTTGTGCTCAAGTCCCTTCACCACCCTTCTTCTTTGGACTCTTTCATCCCCTCCCTTGCCTGCATGTGCTTTCTGCCTTCTCCTATGAAGGTACTGAGTTTGTAAGGTCTGACTTCTCTTAAGCAGAAAAGTTTGTGTGCTTAGTGTATTTATCTACTGAACATCTCAGTTCTCAAGGTTTTGCCTAGTACAGTCATCAGGTCAAAAGACTTCAATTTTTCCAGGTTTCTCCAAACATTTATTTCAAATTGAGGACTGGCAACTGTGACACAAATTAAACACAGTTTTAAGCAAAAGGTGAGACTCACAGACAGTGTACTTTTTCTATGTTACTCCTAAATTCTTTTACAGTTCAGATGAGCCTTGTTTGATCCTGGCAATGATTGTTTCATAATTGTTCTTGTCAATGCTTATATTGAAGGCAGATTTTCTCACAGTCCCCCAAAGAAAAGGATTCCACCACAGCAACCTCTCAGATTTCTTCCACGTGCCCTTCCCTACCCCCTCACCATACACATCTACAACAGGTTCTGTAATGGCTGCAGCAGTGGTAGGATTTGTTTTGTAATAGCCCAGGTAGTCAATCTTAATAGTGTGCTTGTAATATTTTACAGAATTACTAAAGATAAATCAATTTTGAGTTGCTCAGTAGAATACTACCATCTACGTGCCTCGTGGCACTAAAAATCTGTTAAACTGTGGTTCTCATACAACTTAAAACATCTGAGCTTAGAAGAATACTGTTCTAGTACTTGCACAATTTAATAAAAAGGAATATGATATAGAACTCCGCAGCTGTAGGGTGGGTTCTCTCCCCAGTGGGAATTGCACTAAACTTTTTAAAAGAGAGATACTGATTTAATGCGATCTACACATCAACTTTTTAATGCAAGCACAGAAGTATTTATACAAGTATTTAGATTTGTGCTGCTAGTCTAATGACCTGTAGGTCCTAAGAAAAATTAACTAAAAATTGGAGAAAGTTAATAAAAAGAGATCAAACATGTTAGTAGAGATTATTTAACAGCAACCATTTCTGGATTGTTTTTAATATCTGCTTCATACAAGGCCAGACAGAAAGCACTATATAAGGTCATTCATTTTAACGTATTTCAAATAATTTTTTTAAACTCCCTAGCAGGCATTTTTCCCCCTCCCCTGTAAATTCTTAAGCACATTCTATTTTTCATAAACAGATTGCGTCTAACTAGAGTTTGCTAGAATAGTCTGAATCGTGTTCTAGAAATTTAGACGCATTATGTGAATTCTTGGAAATTAACACCTACTTTATTTTCGTATTAACTTCAATTGCCTATGATGTAGCACAACATTTATCCTAACTTACACACAATTATTTCAAAGCTCACTTATAAAACTAAAGTTTGAGCATATAACAGAAAATACAAGCAGAACTCAGCACATGCAAAAAAGCAATATAACCTACTGATGTCTCAACAAGCTTAATCAGTCCCCCTTTGCTCCCTGTAAGCAGCAATTGTGCATTTTCACTATCAACAGGAAACCTACAAATTACTAAACTGCAGCAAACTCTTTAAAAAATAAAAAACTCAAAATAGTTTACCTTCACAATTAATGCCCCAAATAGTGCTTTCGTCCAGAGGAGAGACTAAAGCCTGACTAGATAGGCCGAGTTACTATTAAAGCCCCCAAACCAGTCCTAACCAGGACTGAAGCACATCCCCGGCCCTGGACAGGAAGCAAACAAACTAGCAAGGTCCATATGGAAGCCATCAGCAAGCAAAATGGTTTTTTTCAACAGAGGCTAAACTGATTCTTTTGGAAACCAAACTACCTGAACCACACAGACCAATCATGAGAAGCAGATTTCAGAAAGCCAAAATTTTAAACAACTACCCTTTGTTCAACTCAAGACAAATTTATTGTTTACACTGAGTTTCCCAACACTAAGGAACAGAGTTACAAAGAGAATTTTAGAAACTAACCAGGGACACACATGCTATACAGAAAAAGAACAAACATTACAAACTCATACTGATCACAGGAAAAGTATTTTTGAAAACACATTCCAAAGCCTCCTCTGCCTGAGGACAACACTTAGTCTTAAACTGGGGAATCATCCTAATGGTTCTGTGATAGCTGAGATTTCACCCACAGTCTGTTACATCCAGGTCAATGCAAAAGATTTAAGATTTCTTCCCTTACTGCTTTAATTTCAGGGAGTTCCTGAAACAGCTAGTAAAGTTTATTACCATACAGTTTCCAAAAATCCTCAGCTACCAACAGCACTGTCTTCAAAGGTTACTCATATCTTTCACTGTTAGTTATCAGCATCCATGTTTTGCAACTTAACTGGTGCAAAACCCAAGTGCAAAAGACAAAGCTAAGAAGCGATGAAGATTTACTTTCAGAAGTAAATCTGCTGCTAAACTTTAGACAACTGAATAAAACCCTGCCATCTTTAATGTAGACAAGAACTAGCAGGTCCCAAGTATATTGTTTTATTTTAGCAACAAACCAAAACAAAACAAAAACTGCCCCCCCCAAAAAAAAACACCAACCAAAAAACACCAAAACAAACCAAATGAAAACCAAGCAACATTTATTTGCTCTTTCCAAAACATGCAAAGTTTAATATTCAACTAAAAGACTAACACCAAGTCAGATAATGAGTTTTGAAGGGTTTATGGCTCCCAAAATATGCAGACTAATTTGAAGAAACATTTAACAATGCACTCAGCTGAGTAAACATCTGCTGAGATGGCTCTTTTCAAGCCCCTTGGTAAAGATTTGGTTATATATTTACATTTTCACAAAGGATATGAAATAAAGGAGGTTTTACTGAATCAGCCTTTTACCTGCACACAGCACTACAGTACCTACGTTAGACAGAACTGCAAATTGCTCTGAGTTCTGCATTCTAAATGTAACATAACAAAGACACAGTATGTGACTCACAGCTGTATTTGCACTGGTTTGCAAATTTAGGTCAGGACCAAACACTTGATGGTTGTGTTCTCATACATACACTGATCTGATACCTATGTTAGTTCTAAAAATCCCTCAAAACAAAAATTAGTAAAGATCTAGACTGGTTGTACTTACTCCACTCCCAAGTTACCGGTAGAAAGATGTCTAAACTGACACAATTTAAAAGGACGGTATTCAGGTTTTATTTTATAGAAAGTTTTAGTAGAACTGCTAAAATAGTTAAATTAGCATCACTGCCTCTGTAGTAATTGATTCCAGAAGTCAGTAGCTTTTTACACTGTATTTAACCTTTTCCAAAGAAGAACAAATAACTATTCTGATTATAAGCATTCAAGGACTGTACCATAATGTAATTATGGCAAGCTAAAATACACCTCTGAACTAAACAAGCACATTGTGAGCTGTGATCTTTCATGAATTGTGCAAATACATAACCTAGTTTTGAGATACAACTAGAAATCAGTTGTAGCAAGTGAACTTGAAAGAGAACATAAACACAAACGTATTTTCAACTCTTGTGCAACACAACAAATTACTTCCTTTTCTAATTTTTTTCCATGTATAGCAATAGTAGAGGTGCTGGTAACAGCCCCATACCCCCCCTCTGCCTTTGTGCCATTAACATAGTATTATTTCTAGAACACAATGAAAAGAGGAAAGAAAGGATTCTCACCGTGCTGAGGAGGGAGAAAAAAAAAACAGAATAGCCACAAAATCAGACTACTTCAAGCAAATAGCAGAAACAAGAATTTAGATTCTCATCCTGTTAAAAAAACTTAAAGCTTTCTCAGTCACGTATTTCAGGAATGAAAATCTGTGTTCTATTACCTATTTTTATTATTTTACTGTGTTTGATAATTTACAAATATAACTTACTGCTTAATCTTCTTGCCATCAGGGTCAACCTTTCCAAGGTATGTATTTGATATACTTCCATGTTGCTGCAGAATGCTTATATCCCCAAAAAGACTTAACTTCTGGAGGTTCCTACAAAACAACAAAATAAAAAGGAATCTGTACACAAAATTAAAACAGCATGAGGAATCATTCTGGATAAGACAGACATGGACAATAAGAACCCATTACTATATGGAACACAGTCTGTATTGGGAAACTTCCTACTGTCCTAGAATACAGGCACATCTGGAAGCACAGAAAATGAGACTGAAGTGTAAAGGGGAAGAGAACTGACAGGAGTATTTTCAGCAGGCCAACAGCACCACAAAGAAAACTTTTAGCGGTGGTTTCATGCAATTTTTAACGCCTGGAACACGTGTGTTGAGTATCACAGGTGAAAACATTAAATACTTATTTCTTTTAACATTTAACACTGCATTTAACACCCAAGTAGAACACAACCACAAAGAACCCTTTCTGAGCACTTACGTACATCAGCTGGATTACAAATGGGAGCCCAAACCTGCCTCAGTCGAGGCATCACAAACCTCAGGCAGGAATAGCAAGAGCTCCCCACACCACAGTCAGTATCTAGTTTCTGTTATATCAGAGGAAATATTAGAACAGCTTTCCCTACTATCAGTGAGCTGACACACAGCTTTAACTTTTAGAAGGGATACCTAAAAAGAAGTCAAAGAAGAACCTCTAAGTATATGCTGGACATCACATGGTATGCTAGACAGTCACTTTTCCTTTCCCTAGTACAGCTTATTTTTCTGACTTGCATCTTTTCTATTCCTAAAACAGATCAAGCAAGGGATATGAAAACGACTGCAGTTTTAGAGCAGCTGTGTGGCACTTGCTTTTAAGATCATTATTTTTTTAGCTGACTAAGTTTTGGGTCAACATTTCTTTTATTTACACATGGTGTAAATGTAAATTAATTTACTCCTAACACACAGGGACTAGTCTACAATTGATAATTAACATGGCAGAAACTCCAGTTTCATCACAAATGGATACATAAGTTAAATTTATCTTAAACAGTAGATGCAAATTAACCTGTAGCTGACAATTAAGGGAGTTACCATACATTCTTATTTCTTCTGGCTTACAAATCATATGCTAACATTTCAGATTAGCTTTGAGAAAAATGCAATACAATTACAACACTCAAAGTATAGGGAAGCTCTGGTACAGTTCACTTTATCCGCAGTACAATTTCATATTCTACCAAAAGGAGTGGGAAAAAAGTATTGGGTAGCCAAGTTTTATGTTTTTTAGTATGAACTGCAGCCTGTAATTTATATCTAGCATAAATCATAATTTCTGAAGTTTCTATATTCAATAACAGTACACTGATTTCCTGAATCTATCCACTGTTGCACCTGGTACTCTTCTTCTATAGGTGAACAACAACTTAATAGCAAGATCCATGAACTTCATATAAAGTCTGAAAAATACTGGAGCAAAATACCTAGAATTTACAACTGTTTCTGAAATTCTAACAATTTAATATTTATTATTTTAAATACAGGACTACTGTACTGATGATACACTAAAATAAACTGAGTCTTTACCACATGATCAATACTCTACAAGTCTGACTAAGACAACGCCTGATCATACTGACGAGTAAGCTTGGCAGAGAAACCTAAAACCCTGGCACCACCACACCACCACCAAGAATATTTTGGGCTCTTCTTTCCTCAAAAGCTGTAAGAGACAACATGGTGTGACAGGAAAAGTAGCAGAAACTTCCACCTGGTCTGAAAAGCAGTGTTCACAGCCATACTATAATTAAGACTTTATCTTCTAATCTCAGTGACTTAATTCTGAGAGCTAAGAGACAAAATGCAATCTTCAGAACAGTTCTGAATCACCTGCATAGGTCTTGCTTAGTGCTACTCATATCCCCAGCAAATGCTACCATAGGCAGGTATTAATTTGAGGACCACCAAACTACAAGACACATGGAACACTAATTACTAGTATCCCACACAATTTTACTACATCTATTTGACCGCCATTTCATGCACTACAGAGACACACAGAAAAGTTCTCCACCCCAAAACTTAAGCAATGACAATATCCAATTATTTTTCCACTCACAGCACACTTATTACCATCAGGAAATCTAATCACAGTTCAACACTATGTTAGATTTTTGCTACTATTTGCAGTGTCATACAACCTCTATGGCATTCAGCTCACATCTTGTCTTTATTTCAGAGAGTCAGTAAAGTGATCGTTATTTAAATAAAATTATTTAGAAGTTAATTGTCATCTTTTGCTAAAAGCAATAATGGTATCTTAATTCTGTGTAGTATCCATACATACAGCTGGGGAAAAATATGTTTTGGAGGGATTTCTCAACCATTTACTTTCTACTAGCTGAAAAAGTGCACTACAAGTAATAAGCTTCTTACATCTTCAGTTTTGGTTGGTCTCTTTGAATACCCAATCGAAAAAAGAACAAAATGTACTTGCTTACATTCAAGACGAACAAAGTAATAAGGCACATATTGTATTATTATGCCAGTTTCAGCTGCCTGATTAGAGCAATAGAAGAGAGCCATTAGAAAACCTTAAATACAGATGCAGTCTACTGTTTTGAGCAATTCACCAATATTTGGCAACTCCAAGATAGATACCACACTTCACCAAAATACCACAGTTTTACAGTAATCTGCATTTACGTTTCCACAGCAAAGATCAAACAAGACACACAATTTAACACACTGCAGAGATGGGGGAAGGGAGCAAGGAAGGAGGAGTAGGGGACACTGTGCTTTGGCATTTCAGAATTGCATAAAAGAACACAGGATTTTCCTACTGAACGATCACCAGTTGCTTATTAGCTGCTGTACGCACTTAAGTAACTCACATGAAGTTTGCCTCCCTCCCACCTGCCTTCCAGAACTTAGTTTTAAAAGATCAGTTTGAGAAGCTGCAGATCATGAGGAGCTAAGAAACAACATCATCATGCCCACTCGCAGCATTTTTTTTAATAATAAGTAGAACATCAGCTGTTTAAACAATAATACACTTTGTTATTTTGCTTCATTAACAGTCATAAACATAACTCACGGAAGAGTTACAGATCACTATAAATGCTACTTAATTACGTTTTAATTAAATAAATGACAGATTTTTAGAGCTCATCAAGGCCTTACTGCTATTAAAGCAATATTTTGGGAGTAATATGCTGCCACACACAAAGTTTATGGAAACTTGAGCTCTACCTCAAATATGAGACAGAACATACCTTTCTGGATGGTAACACTGGCTGCCAGCAGGAATACTCGTCAGAAAATATGATCAGTCATTTTCAAACCAAGTTGTGGACAAGTTATTATTTCCTTAATTCTCTCAGAATTAGCAAAGGTCAATCCAAAATATTTTTCTATTTTTTTTTGTAATTTATAAAAATATTTTTATTTTTCTGTATTTTTCTTAACACGGATTTGCTTAGAAATCAGCAATTTCCTGTTGCACAGAAAGTGCTTTTAGTGGCAAACCAACACATCATTCTCCTCTAGCCAAGACAGCATTTAGAAACTGCAATACTTTTAGTCATTATTTTTCTTAGGTCCTGCAATAACAAGGAATTCTAGAGCCATCTAAAGTACATGTTTTTTCTTGCAAGGAGGAGGGTTGTTACTGTATTGCTTAATAATAAATTTAAAACTCCACAACAACGTTACACAGTTCAGAAACAGCATCACAAACATAGATTTTTCCCTCTACAGTTCTGAAGTATAAGATGGAAACTTTTCTGAACTTCTCAAAAAGCTATCATAAGGGCTGACAGGAGTTACGAGAGAACTGCCCTGTTCTAAACTTAATTACAAAAGGAATACATTTACAGTGATTCAGCCACTGGAGAAATTAAAAGCCCTGCTGTTTCCATTATTTTGGAAATTACAATAGCTATCTCATGTACAGTGACATATAGCAAAAACAAGAAGGAATTATTCATTATCCTTGAGTTACAGATAAATAAAGAGAAGAAGAGAAATTAAGTGACTGGATTGCAGTCCTTCCTTAGACAAAACTAAGCATAAGGCAGGCGACAGTGCCTCCAGTTTAGAACTAAGCAGCAATTTGGTACAAGTTCATGTTCCTTCCAAACTCATTCCAATCTCAAAAATCTCCTTAAAAAACTAAAACCCAGAGTTCTACATGCCAACTAAACAGTTATTGGTCATTACTCTGCAAGAAAAAAATCCTAAATAGCTCGAGGGGGAAAAAAAAGAAAAAAAAAAGTCTAATCTGAAACTAAATCTGAAAAAAAAAAGGTCAAGTATTTAATATAACCCCCCCCACACACACACACATTTTTAAAAAGCCCATTAAAATAAAGCCTCCTGTTATAACCAGGTACCCTGTGTTCCCCAATCATGCATTACTCATTTCAAAACAAAAGAGCAGCATGTAAATGATTTGGAGACAGCAAGGAAGTACAGCAATGCAAAATTCTATCCAACTTGGTAACTTTTCACCTCTGGCTCTACCACCAAAATTATACTAATCTACCAGGTACTGGAGAAACAAATACTTATGCATAGTATTTTACTGCAGTCCTGAGTCACACTATGCACACAGAATCCATGAAATTAACTTCATAAAGCAAATGTCCTTGTACAGATTTCAGATAAGGCCCCGGAGAATTAATCTTTTTTCAAAAGAAAAAAGTGTACCAAAAGCCTTCTCACAACGCTTTTAATTTTGACAGCCTCGTATTTTAGTGAAGGCAACAACCTATTTAGTTTTTCAACAACCCCCTCGAGGCAACATCTCCCACAGACGCTAAATATTTTAAAATTCCAAGCCCGTGTAGTGATATTTGCCTCAGATCGAGTAATCACCACCATCACTTCAGTATTTTTTCCACTTATGATACTAACAGCATTTCCCGAAGATTCAACAGTTAAGTGAAAGCTCCTGAAAAGCAAGAAAAGACCAGTCAAGACAGATCATTAGTATTCGCACACCAAGGATTCACAGGGCACGAAATAAATTAAGATAAAGGCGAGCTGGGACTAACAAGCTATTTTCAGAAGGTCTGTAACTCGCAACCATCGGGGCTGCACCACAGGAAGTACCTGCTGGGTGCAAGAGAGCAGAGGAACTGAAAGTTGCATTCATCTCAAACCAACGAGGAATTGCATTTAAAGTTCTCTTGCTACAATTCAAAATAAAGAAGCAATGGAGGCCACAAGCTACTCTCTAATCCCTCCGGAATCAAAGAGGGGCGGTGACAAGGCCATGACTCAGTTGCAGACAGTTTTCTGAAGGCCATCCACAAGGTTTAATTCATCCTAAGGATGCCCGGAAACACTTGCAGTTTTTTTCCCCCCCTTCATAGGTAAAGCTATATGCACACAGAAGGGAAATAATATTAACTGTTTCCTATCCTTAAATCTGCATAGCTTTCCAAACTCATCATAACCTAAGTGTAATACCCTTGCTTTCCTGTCTTAGGTGCTGACTACAGGCCATATATTAGAGTATCTGACTATTATCTTTAAAAGAGAGATTTATCTCGATCACACTCACACATGGTAAAGAGAATGCAAGTATTTTCATTTTAAAGACCTCAAAGCTGAGGAAATTATCTAACCTGACAAAGTATATTGTGAAAATGCAGGCTCTAAGAGCATCTGAAGTACAAACCACAGGAAAATATTTATATCATTTAAATTCAACTTGGCCAAGAAAGTCTTACTTATGGAACATTTTTTTCAATAAACAAACAAACAAACATAAAAGCCTGCTCCCAGTTAAAACCGAGTCAAACCTCAGTTTAGCAGGTAACACAAGCGCTGGCATGAAAGCTTAGCTTTTCTACGGCAAAAAACATCACAGCTGGAAAGGTGTTGGGGCAGTAACTCAGTATACCAATGGTGTGATTTCAACACTACCCCCTTACTGATTTCTCGTGACAATTTTTTTCAAGCACACGTAAGGTCTAAACCCTTCTGTAGCTCTATTTTAGTGAGAAAGGTGCCTTTGTTAGGCACCAGATTCAAACTCCTGGCTCTCGCTCCGCTGGAGCCACATTCCCCCCCTTTCCATCCAAAGGACGAAGAAGTTTTTATTATTGTAGGTATGTCCGTTCTGCGTACTGACCAGCTGATCGCCAGCTAGGCATCTGAGCGTTTATATGTTTATATTCCCCATCAAACTACACTAGATGATAAACGCTTGTTATTTCCGAGCGGCGCGGCCCCGTTCCTGCCCAGCTGAAGCGCAGAGCGGGGCTCCGGGCGCAGCCCCGGCACGAACCGGCCGCCGCCGGCTCGGGCGCTGTTTCCGCCCGCAGAACCGGGCGGGACGGGCCCTGCGTGGCCCGGGGGGCTCCGCTTGCCCCCCGCCCCGCTGCGCGGAGGTACCTGTTGTTGCGGACGCTGCTCAGGACGCACAGCACCAGCTCCAGGTAAGTCCTCAGCAGGTCGAGCCAGCGCGGGCTCAGCGGCGGCGGCGCCTCCCCGTCCCCCGCCGCCGCGGCGCCCTCGCCCGCCGCCGCCCCCCCTCCGCCGCCGCCCGTGGGGTAGTTGTCGGCGGCGAACTGTACGCGGAGCTCACGGACGAACCAGCCGCACTTGCGCATGAGGAACTCGAGGCGCGGGCGCTCGGCGGGCGAGACGCGGAGACTGAGGCGGAGGCGCGGCCAGAGCGCCGGGTAGAAGAGGCACTCCCGCCAGTGCGAGCAGGCGGCCGAGGCCCGCAGCCGGTCGGGGGCCGCCAGGAAGGAGAATATGTGGACCACCAGCTCGCTGGGCAGGGAGCCGGCGCCCACCGCCTCCCCGCACACCGACATGCCTGGCGCCGGCGCCGGCCCCAGCCCCGCGGCGGCGGCCCCGGGCGGCGGCCCCGGCCTGGCCTGCGGCTCCTGCGACACAAACAACAACATCAATGACACGGCGCGGGGGGGGCGGGCGCCGGCCGGGACGCGCCTGCTGCTGGGACGCACCACCCGCGCCGCCGCCGGGGGGGTGGATGGGGGAGCGGACCAGGAACTGTCACCGTGCGGCGCGGCAGGAACAGGTGTTCCGGACCAGCCAGCCCACAGCGGGATTGTAAGGGAAGGTACCGGCGGCACTGCGCTCTGTTCCTGCGGGGCGGCGGGAGCCGCCGCGGCAGACGGAGAAGGACTCCCCCCGTGGAGGAAATGGAAGGTGCCGGCGGTGGGCCGGGAGGCGGGGCCGGCGCGCCCGCCCCGCGGGGACGTTGGCCGGTCACCCCCCGTGCCGCCGGCGCGGCCCCCGCCCCGCCCCGCCCCGCCCGCCGCTCCCAACGCAGTGCGGCGGAGCCTCCGGCCCGGGGCGAGGCGGCGGGACCCGATTCCCTGCGGGCTCCCGGGCGTTGCCGGGGGGCAGGCGCGGGACGGCCCCCGACGGGCCCCCTACCCCTCGCGCCTGGTGTTTAGGAAAACTTGGGAAGGGTGTGTGGTGGCCGCGGCGCGGAGGCCCGCATGGGACCTCACGTACGCTTTTCAGGCAGCGAAATTACCTCAGCAGTATTCCTGCTGCCGCCGCGGGAAACGCGCTGACTACGCAGGAAAGGCGGAGCGCGGTGGAGTCCGACATGTGACAGAGCGGAGTGCGAGCCCAGGGGAAGCAGGAGGGAATGCTCCAAATCTTGGTGGGCTCAGCTTCTTACATCTCAGCCACTTTGTAACACCCCTGCCAACATCCGCTGTAAGTGTGGAAAGGTGATTTTTCCTGCGCATACAGACTTCAGGGAGAATTTAGAAGTCTGATGCTGATGCTGCAAAGACTGAACATGAAAGTGATGGTAATTGCAATTGTACGTGTAAGTTTCATAATCTTGCAATAATGGACATGAGTTTATATAACATTATATCTGAGTGTATAGAAGTGTACGCACAAAAGAACGGAAGATGTGCTAAGAGAAATAAAGCCTAGACTTTTCTTTATATTCAGAGTAGGACCCCATTATAACCAGATTCATCAATAACCAAATCTAAAACACCACTTCTCCCCTTACTCCATGACTAGCCATTTTCACTGTGTCACAGCAAGGGGAAAAAAAAAGTATCATTTACCTTTTCTTGAATTTGGTCATGGGGAAAATGTGACTGAGTCTTCCATTTGTCCTTGATTAGAGAGAAGGATCATGGAGAGGCAGATTTTAATGAGAAAGTGAGACCGTAGGAAATTCCCAGCCTGCCAGTTCTTCTTCCAGCAGGGACCAGTGTTGCTTCACACACCTGCATGAGTGATTTGAACCACCATAAACAACTCAGGTAAGTGCTGCGCTTACTCCCTCTGCAGATTCCACCAAAATTCCCCAGGCAGTCAAGAAGCAAGTTCTGAAGCAGCCAAACTCATCTGGCCTAGAATGATGCAAATGAAAGGAACTGATGCGCCTACATGTCTCCGTATTTTAATATCTACTCAACAATTCCACATTGTTGAGCTGATGATGAGTCAAAGGAGATTACTTAGGATCTTAATGTAAAACAGAATCAAGCTTTACGATTCAGCGCCCTGGAATTACCAAAATGGCATCAAGAAAAATTCATTTATGAATTTAGTAGTTCTGCATTTCTGGTTACCTTTGTTGAATTGTATTGGATCAGCAAATGTGGCATGCTGGGATCATGCCTGTGATAATAAATGTTAAGGAAACTTTCCTGGACAACATCCAGGAGCCACTCTGGCAGTAACACATGCACCACCTGAGCTGGGACCAAAAGGCCTTCACAGCAGGCATCTCCAGTGAGCCCACGGGTGCAGGCCTGACTGCCCCCTCCTCCCTGCCACACTCAGACCAAGTTTACCATAGCAGAGTCTCAGACATCCAGATCTTGAAAATAATTTAATCTTGGTGCAATAACTAAATAATAAAATAACAGCTCGAGCTGGAACCCTGAACAAAGGGAAAGTCTGGGGGTCCTAAGATCCTGCTGTGTCTCTGAGTGTCTGGTCACCTGGCTGGGCTGCAGGTCCCTGGGCACTTTGTTGTACAAAGGGTCAGCAGTTCGTGGCCTCAGGCTCAGGCTCCAGCCCCCCAGAGCTCATGCTACAGCTCACACTGCAGCTGCTCACCAAGCTACCCTCACTATATGTATGAATTTTAAGCTACAAATCGAAATTTTCAGATTTTCTGAAAGAAAGTGCAGCCATACTGTACATCCTGGAGGGACTGGGGGGAAGAAACCATTCCAAAGCAGTTCACAGGCAGGAGATTACAGTCATTTACCAGGAAGTGACTGCAGGTTTTTGCACAGTCCGTCATGGATCAGAAGGGGTAGAAGAGAGCCTCGGGAAACCACGTTTTGCCAGTCTAAACAGCCCCTGTTGGGATTCTTCACTATCACCAGGATTCTCAGTGCTTAGCAGTACCAGCACTGTGCCATGAGCAGCTGTTCTGGCATGGGAGCCAGGAATCACATGGGGCTCCAAAGCCATAGGCTAGCCATAGCAAAGTTAAAGTTTACTGGACCTGGAGGTCACTGATTCAGCAGATAACGTCAAGACCAGAGGTTGCCAGTGTCTTCAGGTGCTTTGTCCTGCTTACTTACAGATACCAAAATAAGGCTAATGAGCTAAAACCAAAGTGCAAATGTTTTAAATTAGTCAGTCCCTTCTTGGTTTTTAGGTACATTTCAAAGACATTTATGTTTCTGGAATTACTAACTCGGTATGTGTCATTAGTGAGCTGCTGTGAACTTTGAAGTTGTCCATCACCAGCTACAAGAACGGACACAGAAGAAGCAAAGTCAGAGCAAAGCAGAAACAGAAACCAAGTACTTGTAGGAAACCTGTGTTTCCACATGTGCTATAACTGGACTAGTGTGTTTTCCGACTTGATTTATGTGGAAGAAAAGAGGAGCTGAAGGTTGGCCATAAGCTTCCTGCATGATCTTCACCTGTACAATAACTCTCCATACAAAAAAGGGTATTTGAAGAGGAATCAGGCTGCAGCTGAAGCCTGCAGCCCTAGCGTTGCCTTAGGACAGCGCAGAGAAAAAAAGACTCCAGGCCAGTTAAGTGTATAAGAAAAAGAGAGTAGGTCCTGCAGTCAGCCTACAGGCCTAGGGAATACACATGCCGTGCACACACCCAGACAGCAGTTCTATGATTTTGTAATAAGGTCCATGCAATCCCAGATTTGTCCACGCCCGTTTCTGCCCAGTTCTGCCCCCTGACACACCCCTTCAGGAATTGGGTCTGGGGTCTTTGGGGCCCCTTCTTCCTCATCTTCATCTTCTTCACAGCACATACAGTCCTTGGAGTTCCTCCAGAGTTCTGGGTTTGAAGGTCGCTGTGTCTGTGTGGTATCTCCTGGTCCAGGCCTAGGGTGTTTTTCTGCAATTCTACCTTGAAAAGAAGACTAAACACGCTAAAGGAATTTAGAGGGACTGATATGAAACGGGGTAATAGGGTCGGGTATGTGTAACTATTATGCTAAGGGTAATTAAAATCTACACTTACTACACCACTACTTCTAAAATCTACAAAAGCTAAAAAAACCCCAAAAACTCTGAGGCATCGCTGGTAACGATCGCAGCAGCACCGGGGAAAGCCCGAGCGCGGAGCGGCTCCGCCTGTCCGTGCGGACGCGGGCGGGGCCGGGCGGGGCGGAAGCGGCGCGAGGCCGGGCGGAGCTGACGGCGGGCGCGCGCGGCGGGCGGCGCGCTGCACTTCCGGGCGGGGCCCGTCACGTCCGGGCGGCGGAGATGCCGGTAAGGCGGGCGGGGAGGCGGCCCGGCCGCTCCGTCGGGGCTCGCCGCCCTCCCCGGGCTGGGGGGCCCAGCGTGCCGCGGAGCGAGGGGGGTGGCCCGGCTATCCCCTCCCCGTCTTCGGGGCCGCCCCGCCCCGCGGCGGCCGGACCCCCGCGGGGCGGGCGGGTGGCACCTGCCCCGCCGGGCCGCGGCGCTCCGCCCTGTCCGCGCTGCTCTCTGGGGTCCGCCGCGCTTCCCCCGTGCCCTCCCGGCCGGACCTGGCAGCGCTGGCTCTCGTCCCCGGGGCTCGCTTGGCGCCCGCCGTGCCGGGTGCGGGCTGTGAGGGGCAGCGCGCGGGAGGAGCGCCGGGCCCCGGCTCGCTGCGTGCGGCGGGCCGAGGTACCCTGCACTCGCTGCGTGTACTGTCTGTTCCCTCGCGGCCGGTGAAGCTCCTCCCGTGCCGCACTGCTTGGTGTCGTGACTGCTAGAGGAGGGCGTTTAGGTTCTCTTTTTTAACCTAGTCAATAGAATTGTTAACTGTAATGGAAGGGGAAAAGAAATGTACGCAATTCACTTTCTTCTCCCACCGCTGGTGTCCGATGCTTTCCCGGTAGGCAGAAATAGATACAACTTGTTCTCATTTTACCCCTTTAGCCCAAAGAAGCAGCATCGTATAGGTATTTATGAAATAGCTTCTGTTTATGTGGGCTCACCAGGATATTTCACAGAATCAGAAATGTGAGGTCTCCAAAGATGGGAAAAGATGAGGTTTCCTGGTGACAGGTTGTTTGTATGTGGTTCCTGTTCATCAACAATTTGGATAATTCCTCTGTTTTAAAGGCTGGGAATTCAACCTCTTTGTCTCTTGCACGATTTATGTGATTTGCAGTTGATCCCACAAGTTTCCAGAACAAACAATGCAATTTTCCATTGAAAATGAACAATTGCAAAGACAGTGTGGTAAATAGCCTTTAAAACTTACTTTCACAGTAATTTAGGATGTTATTTTGTTGACTCAATGAAAACAAAAGTCCAGGAGCCTTGATAAATGAGTTTTCCCAGTACCTCACAGTATATTTTACAGTTACGTGCAACATGTGTTCACTTCTTTTTGCTTTGCTCTTGCTTTTCGGTTCCTCTTTCTTTATATTTCCTTTTCTGTTGTTTTAGGTTAAACTGAATATTTGCGCAACACAGCTTCTCACAGAAGGACCACCACACTGGTTTACACTTAGGAAAATATGAAAATAAGCAGGGAGTGTTGTTCTCTCTGAACTAAAAGAAAAAAATAAATAAACTGTGCCTTGCTGAGGACAGCTGCAGGAATCAGACACTTGAATCAATGTTATCGGATGAGTTAGAATCCAAACCTGAGGTGAGCAATTATGAACTGGGTTTGGTTTCCAGGAACATTTGTGGGCAACACTTAGAAAAAGTTCAATGAGTTTCCTCAGTTTGCTGCTTACATGTTAGTTTTTTAAGTGTTTTCAGTGACATCTCCTAATCCTTCCATGTTTTCATTTGAATGGTAAAAGATTAAACAATATTGCAGGTATTTCAAGTATCATCCAATACTCTTGCCTGTTCTCGGGTTACATTTTTTTTCCACTCTTATAGTGTTCTTTCTGTTACAAGAATAAAATAAATTACTATATTGACTACTTCTTCCCTTTAAACCAAACTGACTTTACTTGGTTTTGGGGAGTCTGAATTATTCTATTAGTATCAGCCAGTTTTGTTGTTTAAAGAACCCGTGTTTCCATGAAGCAGTTAGCAGAAGTGGTAGGCAGCAGCACCTAGGGGATCCAGGTTGCTTGGTGTGAGGCTGCTGGACTGTTCCCAGGTCCAGCCAGTGGCACAGCTGAGCATAAATTGCAGTGATGTACCTGTGTGCATGCGCAGCTGGCCACAAACACATCCTCACGTACACAGGTAAAGTACTTCTAGAAGATAAACACTAAAGCACAAACAGTAGCTTTTTAGTCGACAATAGCTATACCCTGTCATCACTCTACTCGTGTATACTCACATTCACGTGGTGTCTGCCAGACCTAAAGTGCCCAGGGCCAGGGCACAAAGTTTTAGCCAGTTTCTGGCTGGAATCCTTTTATTTTTTTCTGGACTATGGTAGCCTACTGACGTTAAGTCAACCGGAAGTTCACTAGCAGTGGACTTACTTGTGGGTAGAATATTTAGGAATATGTTCAGTAAATAGATAGGAGGGACTGCAGTGATCAGGCGCAGCAGTATTCTGACCAGCAACTAGTATTTTCTCTCCCCTCTGCCACTGGTTCTTCAGTTACTCACCTTCATTCATCCTTTGATCCTCCCCATAAACGTTACATAATAAGCTTAACTCATCCTGCAGTCCCTATTATATTGGATAGTAAGTTTGGTCTTGAGACCCATTCTAATTACCAAAGACAATTATGTTTTCTTACCACTTAACATTTCTGGTTGAACCTTTTCAAGTTTTCCCTTCAGCAGTAGCCTATTGATCAGTTTCTGAGGCGTTCTGGGTTTGTTACTCTTACCTATAATGTTCTAGATACAAGTGTCTGCAGTTTGTTACATTCAACACAATTACCTACTGCCTCTGCTGTTTCCTACCTTTATGTTTCAGGTTGAATGGCCATTAGTCAGCTTCCTGTGCCTTCCCCCACTTAAAAGGTGCAGAGGATTGTATCACTTGGTGTCCTTGTTGTTCTCAGCTTTACCTCTGCAGACAGCAGAGGACATGATACAACCTGGCAAGTCTGAATTGCTTTATTAAGTTTTGTTTCTATCCCTTTTCAATAAGCAATACAGCACGCACCTTAAAATGGTATTCTGAAAAGAATGATGATTACATGCTGGTAATTTGTTACAGCCCAGCTGATGTGGTAAGGCATTTATTTGTTTCTTAATAGAGCAGCCAAAGCCGTTCCATCACACCATTCAGGAAAAGTAGCTGCAAATTCGTAGTCATGAGTAGTCTCAGCATGAGCTACAAGGAATTCCTCTCTCTCTTGCCTTGTCGTTTATATCTCTTAGTTTCTATCATTTTTTCCCCCAGTTCTGAATGATAAGGTGGGGGGAATTTTGTTACTTCCATCTTCGAGTGGGTTCCTCAAAAAGCAGCTGTAACTGGGCCTTGTCTTTTCTCGACTTGAGTACAGTATTTGTTAATTAGGCTTGTTTACGTAATAGTCCTATTTCTCCAGAGCAGAATTGCATTTCCTTCCCTGCAAGACAATAACAGGAGTTGGCCATTCTCCAGTAGAACAGTCCTGATGCATGAAAGCTACAGTGGTTGTTGCAGAAGACATTCTTTCTGTATATTCTGTCTTCTAAACAAGATCAAGGCTATTTTATACTACAAATTTTGATCCATTTCCATGTATACACACCCTCTTTTTCTGATTCTGATTATGAAAGTTGAGAGTTAAATTAGTACTATTTTGTACTCCTTTGATGTAGAACTTGTAGATATCCTTTTTACACCTTTCCCAAATAGCAGTTCAAGTATCTCTGAAAGTCAGTCCTGATTTTATATACCCTGGTGAGCCATGGCACCACAGTTCTCATAGCCACAGATGTTCTTTCATATACCCTACCATGTGAGAAAGGTATTAATTAAGAGCTAGCTGTATGTGTGTGACATCTAGATAATATCAATCAAAGCACTCTGTCTGGATTGCACAGACTTCTTTGCTACTGGTTTTATCCCTAAAGAAGCCACCAAAGTGCCATTAGACATTTAATGCCTGAGTAGAGGTAAATCCTCCTTTCATAGAAAGTTTTAAAGTTGCTTGGAGACAGTTTGTATGAGGAGGTGGATCTGCTTTTTCCTCTGGTTTCCCTGCCCCCAAAGCTGTATTACAAGTATTCCTGAGGGAGCTGATAAGATCTGTATTTTGCAAGCTTTAAACCTTCAGGGTGATTTGTTACAATTGCAAGTGTTTCCAACCACCTCCACCACACTGGTCCATTGCAAGGTATTTTCTGCTGCTGGGGTAACTCTTAGCACAATCAAGTGAACCACAGCTCTGTTCTGTAAATTGAACCAGTTATTGAAAAGGGGGTGAAGAGAGGTATTTTAGAGATCCTTTCTCTCCTTTTCAGCGCCTCACAAGGAGAGACTCTTGTGAATTAATTAGTTCCCCAGAGGCTGTATGGGAGGACATCCCAGTTTCTAGCTAACAAGCCTCCTGCCCTCCACACCCTTCAGCTCCGACTCCTCCTTCCTCCTCTCTCTGCTAAATTTTCTTTTGACCTCTTTATTTTGTTGTGGTTCACTGGTTAAATTTAGAACAGAAATGGTATCGATTAATGGTCTCTGCTGCTCTGGGAATCTAGTCTAGCTCTCCAGATGTCCAGTGGGAGGATAAATCTAAACAATAGTACTGGAGAACCTTCTTCCCATGTCCCTCCCAGACACTCCTACTTCAAACAAAACAGCTGCCTGACACTTCATGGCTTTTGAATTGTCTGTTATGTGACACAAACTTAACCTGATCCATCTCAGATGGGCATGTTATCATTTGTTTCTGTAGTGGGTTTTTTGTTTGTTATTTTTAAGGATCTCTAGTGGGGGTTCTCAGTTCTTTCAACAGATTTTTCTTTGTTGTTTGTAGTTTGTTGTGGGGTTTTTTTCCCCTCTCAGGTCAAGGACAGATAATAAGTTTCTTGGTAACATGAGCATTCTGTACTGCTTGCAGTGATAGATCCTGGAATCATCCCGTTCAGCCATCTCTTGTTGACTAGCAGGGACGACAATTATTTGTTTAGTGACAAGAGCCAAGAAATATTTTACATTTTTAATACATACAGTGTCCGCATTACTTACAGAATTTTCAGAGTTATGTGGTATTTCAGAAGAAGTAGTTAAAGGAGGGTATATTCAAGATGGTGATATGGCAGAACCAAAATAAAATTCTTCATAGCAAGATGCAGCTGAATTTTGCCTGTTTTGTCCCTCCAAGGCTTATAGATCCGCCCTATATGATTCATGTTTGGCCCATAAAGTTTGAATCTCTAAGTCAAGGATGTCCTTTTACTATGTTAAAATTTATTTCAAATTCAAAGGGATCTCTTAGCTATAGAGCAAAGCCACCTCCTTTTGTGTTCTGTTAGCATTCTGTACATTGAGTTCCCCTGGTGCCCCAAGGATGACCTGTCTGCTTGGTTACAGATTCTATCATTTTGACCATATTTGCAGAAGGATCAGTCTCTTCCATATGTAGGGATTTTACAGTCACCATTTTGGGAATACTTACAGCCCATCTGGGACCTGTTTGTGATGGCAGATATTATGTGGTGATGAGAGCTGCCAAACTGTAGCATCCACAAGATTCCTCCGCTCCTGGTCCTTCAGACATGAGACCACTGGGCTGTTCCCAGGTACATGCAAAAATGGGGCTGAGCCTGAACTGCAAAAATGTGCCCACATAGACAGTACAGACATCTGTGGCTGTATGGCACGATAGTGCTTTTAGTGGCACTGTCAAACACAAATGGCATTCATGTAGAAAAAAAAGACTACAAATGGCCTGATCCTGTCCCTACTTATCAGGTAACCAGGCTTGAGATCTGCTAGCATATCACATATGTGTCCTCACTTGGCTGACATGCATGTTCCTGGTCATGCATCTGTTAAGTCTTTGCCAAAACTTGAGTCCTTCTGGTGTCCATCTCCAGGCCTTGAGCTTTTTAATTCAGCCTCTGGCCAGGATCTTAGATTTCCAGGTTGTGGTTTCCTCTATTCACAGGCTAGTCCAAAGTGAAGTTAACCAGATGAATGTACTCAGAAACTATTTAGGAGCAAAAAGCATTTGAGAAGATGGGCTAGACCACAATGATGAGACAGAGCAGCAGCCTGTGGCCTGCTAGCATGTAGTTGACCCATATTATCTCCCATCCACTTCTGTTTCCAATGGTTGTTTCTCTCTTACCTACCTTGATGCCTCCCTTTGGTCCTTCCCCAAAACATCCATAACTTTTTCACATTTCCAGAGTCTTGACTCAAGATATCTTAAGTTTTACCCAGTCCCAGAATTTCCCCTGTATCCCATAAGAAGTTTGCTCTTGGCCTATGAGATGTGTTCTGGTAACCCATGATAATACTGTTCCTGTTCTTCACAAAGTTTCTGGTTGAATTTTTTTCAAGGTCACACTCAAGTTGTTCCTGTAATGGCCCCATCCATCACTGTCCCAGGAGTTCTGGATTTTGTTACTCTCTCTTATCTGCAGTTCATTAGAGCTTGTGTATTTGTGCTTTTAATTTATCACTTCTCCTGTTCCTACATTTCTATGCTGAATAGCCAATTACCAGATACCCTTATAATTTCCTATTTGCTTTCAGCTGTAAAAACATATTAAAAGAAACTTCTAAAAGTATGACACAATGTTTGTAATGAGTTCTTTCCCATATTCCAGTTGCTGTAATTGTCTACAAAGGTATTAAAGGATTTTTAGCAGGAAGGTTCTATGAAAAATCTGTCCAGATAAAACTGTAGCATGAAAACTTCTATTTTCTCTGAATTATGTGATGTAGAGTTGGTGATTGGTTTGCTTTACTTTATGTGAAGGTTTTTTATTCCAAATTTTAGTAACAAGAATGATTCATGTCCTTTTGTTTCCTTCTGCTTCTTTTGCCCCCTTTTAATACTAGTTTGTTATTACTTTACAAAGCAAATTAAAAGGATCTCTTTTCTTCTGAGAACCTGTTTGTGGCTGCTGCATTTTGCTTTTTCCTAGTGGCTTAATATTGCTGTGTTGAAGTGGAAGTTTTAAAGCAAAGCTTTCCTTCTGTAGGAGGCAAATTTCATCTAGGTCTTTTTGTATGAAAATAAAAGAGTAAGCAGCAGTAGGGCTCATCAACAGTTTTGAAATGAAAGACAATCCAGTAATTTAAAACTATCTCACTGCTCACAGTTTTTAGTCCCCTGCTTATTCTGGTTGCTCATTATTCCTAACTCTCCTCTCTTTTTACCCCCTTTCTGCTATTTTTTTAATCCTAAATTAGAATGGACGGGGGAGGGACTGTCTCTTATTGCCTATGTATTTTTTTGACAACATAAAAATAGTTCTCTCTTCATACTGGGTCCTGTGGATAATCTTAGATATAAGATGAAAAAATTCTAACTTTTCAAAATGCAGCCTGGCTTGTGTCGTAGTTCAAATGGCATATTGCCATCTGAATGATTTCAGGACTTAATTTGTAACTTCACAGTCATCAGTGATGACAGGCTGCTCCTAAGGGAGGGTAAGCAGGGAGCCAAGGGTGATCCCAGCCCAGGCAGTGCCCTCACTGACCAGGCTGCAATACTGCAGCACCTGAGCATGGCAGGCAGAGACAGGTGCTGGAATCCACAGCCCTGCATGAGGGAAAGTGATGAACCCGGTCCAGAGTCTATCCAAAGTCCAGTCAGGAGCAGCAGGAGATGGGGCTGGAGACACAGATGCAGTAAAAATCTGAGGTTTACCCAGGAGACAAGGCTTGAGACATGTAAGCCTAAAACACAGCTCAGGAACAAAGGAGTAGCCCAGGTGAGCTTAAAAGGAGCCCTTGGAGAGAGGGTGTGAGGGTCCCAGATGAGACCAGTCAGAGCTGTTAAGGCTTCAGGGTTCTGACAGCAGTAACTCTTTGAGGTAAAGCTGTTTGAGGAAGCATCAGTATTTCTAGTGTTTTCATGAGAGGAAATAAGCATAGAGAAATCAGAGCACAAACAATTAAGTTTTCTTTACAGTTTCTTTGATTTAACAAGACTTTGTCATGATGTAGGAGAAGCTCAAAAAGCTGGTATTTGCTACAGGAATAATTTGGAATTAGGTGTTAATAAAAAAATTAACTACTGAGACAATCACAACACACAAAATAAGAATCAAATTATTTGTGACTGTTGGTTTTTAATCACAAACATACCATGGGCACATCATGCTTTTTTAGTCTTTTTTTTGACATTGATGAACCATCTCACTATACACACAACTCCATCTGGGCTCTGTGGGAAATTTCCTTCTAAATGCCAAAGACAGGGGAACTTTGCTACATACAGTTGTTTGCTAGGCAGCAGCAGAATCAGCAGAATGCAGGATCTTTATGTCAAGGGGTTTCGTAGCGATAAGGAATAGTGACTTGAGGACTAAGTTTATGGTATATTGTTATTGTTCATATTTCTTTGTTCCGTTTTTGTTTGTTTTTTTAAATTTGATAGTATGAGTATAGGAGTTAGTCTGTTTGACAGAACTTATAAACAAATAAATAGATCCTACATGAAGTTTTTGAGCAGCATTTCCTCTGAAATGCTAAGTATGTGTCTAGGTATGTTACAACTGTATAGTTCAATTGTGTGTTACAGTTGTGTGTTACAACTGACCCCTTTCTGGTCACGAGAAGTTTAATTCCCTGTAGGGGAGGGATTTGAGACTGTGCTTAAGAAAGCTTGTACAGTTTACAGAATTTGTTCGGTCCATTGCAAAAGTTGGACTGTGTTATCTCCTAACTCCCAGTTGCCCTTCCTTTGTTAATCAGAATATTTTAATATGGAAGGCTGTGGCACTTGTAACAGAAAAAGCAGAGTCTCGTTTCTATGCCTATGCCTTCGGGGTAGAGAGTAGTCCAGTGTTACATCTGGTACTGACAAAAGCTTGAGATGTTATAAAGGGGACAGAATGAATAAACAAGGCACGTGCTTTGCTGCTCTGAACTTGGTTAAATAAGGGAAGATTTTCAGGGGTGAGAAAAGGCATTTCTCTGACTTCCTGTTCCTTCTCAAATGTCAGGTTCCTTTTTTATAACTTGAGATTTTTAGGAGTTAGGTGGGAAGTAATTTTTGTATTGCCAGAGTTGACTGATGTTAAGGATGGCTAAATCTGCTGGATGGAATGATCTGGCCCCTCTCACCTCTTGGGCTTGTCAAGAAACATGAGGACAGCTCTTTAATTCTGATCTTAGATCCAACCACTAGTGAGGTTTAGTACCTATTTGAAAATAGTTGCGTGCACACAAACACACGCAGAGTACAGATGTGACTCCAAACAATGTGGCACCAAACAGATGAACACTGGCAGAGTGCTCATAGCTTTACCCACATAAACACAAACATAAAACAAAATGCCTGATCCTGTGTTCAAGGGTTGCTGCCTAGAGAAAACCTTCACAGATTTCTTTGGGATATATCCCTACGCTGCTTCTTCTGCTTGCCAACTAGTCTGGCTTGGAGTTCATTAGCATATGAGAGATTAGTCTCTAGAAACTAGAGACTAGTGTGTGTCACCAGAGACCCACTCTAGAGAGTGGGACCACATTGGAAGTATTTAGGAGTGGAGTTTAAAGAAGACAGGATGGAGTGTGATGATTAGGCTGCACCAGACAACTGAACTGGCCAACTTCCTGCAGTGGGCCTCTTCTCTTTATCCTGCCTTCTCCATTTTCCTGTGTTTGTTTTGCCCTGATCAATCTTGATCCCTTCCTTTTCCTGCTTTTGGCCTTTCCCTTAAACAACACCTAGTAAGTCCTGTACAATTCCCTAAATCTTTTGTCCAGTCCCAAAGTCCTCCCCAGGGAATGCATCTCAGTTTAAGTCGTATAAATCTTTATGCAATAGTTTCCCTTATTTTGTGTAGTATTCTGGAGAGGGTTTCTTCTGTTACTCCCCTTAGTGGGCAGGTTGTTTGTACATCTTTGATGGTTTTAGGAGTATCTGATTTGGATGGATAAGGCTCTCTATATTCACCCCCTTGTCATCCCAGCCTTGTTTCTCTGATCATTATGTGCCTATTTCGAATAGCCATAAGCTAGACATCTTTGTAACTAGTCTTTTGATTGCTTTTTTTAATTAAAAGAAGGCCAACTTTTTCATTTAAGTATTTAAAGACAATGATTTCAAAAATACCTGTACCAAAGGCTGAGCGTGGAAAACATTTGCTTGAAGGGTTAGAGCATAGTAAAGTATCAAGTGGTAAAATACACTTTAAAAGGAACATAGACTCAGTAACCTTCAGGTTAGTCTGCAGTGATCCAGAGATGTTTATTGTATGTTAAACAAATGAGAATTTTTTAGCTATTTCAAAGATGACAAATACAAACAATTCCTTCTTTGTCATCAATGTAAATTGAAAAGCTTTCATTTACTTCTGTGTGTATTCGTAGGATTATATTTATTCAGTGTCTCCTACAAGATAGTTGGGACTACTGGACTGACTGGGTTTAGTACCTTTTTAAATGATTTGTGCTGATCTTGACCTAATCTTCAGTATCTTTTTTCAGCTGCTGGTTCAGTTTGTTCAGAATACTTCTATTCCACTGGGGCAGGGGCTGGTGGAATCGGAACCAAAAGACATCACCTGTCTTTCCCTCCTTCCTGTTACTGAGACCTCAGAATGCAACAGACTGATGTTGCCAGGTAAAATCTATGTGGCAGATCTTTGTGACCCTGCCCTTCATACAGCTGTGTTTACTGTACCACTCTGGCCCACTGCCTCTTGCTGGTAAGACATTCCAGGGATGGAGGAACAAGTTCAGAAGGGTGACTGAAACTTCTCAGTCTGACTAGTTAGAAGCTTACTTGCTCCTCCATTCTCTCTCAAGTTCTATTTTTTTCTAGAAAAATAACTTCATAAATATCTTTTAGTCTGCAAGGTAAAATATACGCAAGTATCTTCCCCAAAAATGCCAGGGCAGTGGAAAGGATTCAAAAAGGTTTATTTTGGAGGCAAGGACATTAAAACTTACAAACTTCTCAGTGCTGCAAGTCAGCACTGAGCCTCAGGGGAAAGGCAAACCTCCTCTTTGCTTCTAGGCTTTATCATCACTAGTTCCCCTCCTCCCCCCTGCCCCCCCCAGGCTGCAACTGCCCTGTAGCATTTCTGTAAGTGTTCTCTCTCTCCTCTCACTTACCAGAGAGAGAGGCTGAGCACTTCCCTTGGTATGTGGGGGTGAGGAAGGCATTGAAACTGCCTCTGAGAGAGTTACCTTTTAGGCAGAAAGCCTTCCAGGTGAAAACTTGTCTCTTCGTAACAAAATCTTCTGGAAGAAATGCTATTCTATCCTCACGTAGTCATAATGTATTTATACTTTTATTTACCCTGGTTTCATTTTCCTCACTAGATGATGAAAGAGATCTCACTTCTCCAAGTCATGCTAATCCTTCCAAAGATGTTTCTTCATCTGCCGTCTTGAGAAGTCTCCAGGTAAATGTGGGCCCTGATGGAGAGGAGACAAGGGCACAGAATGTACAGAAACCATCTGAACTTTTGTCAACTCCAGAGACTTCTAGTTTATTGCAAGACCTCCAGCCCAGTGACAGCACTTCATTTATTCTTCTCAACTTAACAAGAGCAGGTAATTCTTCTTCTGTTTGTCATCTGGCTGGATATGTCTCAGCAGAATGCGGGAGATACAACTCTGTCCCTGATGCTTATGAAGAGGAAAGATCATGAAATTTGCTAGGCATTATTGGATATTTTAGGAGCATTTAGTCACCAACAGCTTTCTACAATGCAGAGGTCAGTGGAAACTTTTTCATTGCAGCTATGCAATCTATGCCATGAACACCAGCCTCTGAGAAGCAAAAAAAATTTCCCTGTTACATTATCCATTTCACAAAGTTGTCTTCTTTTCTAGGGCTGGGATCTCCTGCAGAGCACTTGGTGTTTGTTCAAGATGAAGCAGAAGATTCTGGGAATGACTTTCTCTCTCATGATAGCACAGACAGCAGTACCCCATGGTTCCTTCGGGTGCAAGAATTGGCCCATGACAGTTTAATTGCTGCCACTCGGGCACAGCTCGCAAAGAATGCCAAAGCAAGCAATAATGGTAGGAAATCTCCAGACTGTGTCTCAAAAGTTGAATGTTCCGTACAAGGTCACTAGTTTCAGGTTGTTTCTTCCTCTTGTTGTTTCCTGGTTTCAGTCATTTCTGACATCTTCAAATCATCAGTGACAGAATTATACAGGACAACTGTGAGTTTTTCCTGCAGTATAAATAGGCTCTTAGTTTTTCTTTCAGGGAATGAACTTTAGTGGAGCCAGCTGTTCCATTTTAGTCTACCTGTTCTCTGGTACATGTAAAGAATATCTTTCTCACTGCAGCTGCTTGTTTTTCAACTTTTGTTTTCACTTTCAAGGGCCTGTTTTTAATGCATACTGTAAATGATACTTTCTTTTTAGCTCCACTGAGTTTGGAGATCAGTTTTCTGGAGAACACATAATTGGATTTAGTCATATGCTTTGGGTCTTAATTATTTTAATAAATAATTGCAAACAAATGCAATCTCTTATTTTAGCCAACGTGTTTTTAAAAAGAGTTATCCTGGCTGATACTTAAAATTGTTTGGTTGATATTCACATAGAGAACATTTTTACAATTTCTGGTGCATTAGCTTTCTTTTCTTTTTGTGATAAGCCTGATTTGATAGCAGCTGGTCTGATCTAGATGGCCTGTTGGGAATAGTTTATGAGCCTGGTAAGGTTTGCAAATCTGTGTTTGATCCCTGTTATGGGCTATGCAGCAGCATGTAGGAGGTACTAAACAGTTAGCAGCCAGACACTCACCTGCTTTACAATCCTGGATCATATATGATGCTGGTTTTTCTAATAAATTTGACACATTATAGTAATCTGTAAGGTTTTTAGATTTTGGTGGGCTTTTTTTTTCCAGGTGAAAATGTTCATCTTTGCTCAGGAGATGGGCAGCCGAAAGACTCTGGCCCCATTCCTCACTTGTCTCGTGTGGAGAGGAAGCTGAAGTGCACAGTTGAGGGCTGCGATCGGACATTTGTGTGGCCAGCTCACTTCAAGTATCATCTGAAAACACACCGGTGAGCACAATAAAGCTGTGTGTTGTTATGACTTTGAAAAACTGTGCTCTGTATTTGAGATAACGTTAGGTTTTGACATCAAAAAGCTGTGAAAACCTGGTATTACTCTTAAAAATACTAGGCCTTTGGTTGCTTTGTGTTGAAGTACTTTGACCAGATTCCAGTTACTTTGCAGGTCCTTGGTAGAGTTTAGTTTAGAATATTTGTATTTTTAACAGGTGCTCATGTTTAATAAAAACAGTGTTCATGAAAAAATACATTGTAGTATTGTAATGGTAATGAAACAGCTATTTTGTTGCTTTCCAGGAACGACCGCTCCTTCACCTGCCCAGCAGAAGGTTGTGGGAAAAGTTTCTATGTCTTGCAGAGGCTGAAGGTGCACATGAGAACTCACAATGGTGAAAAACCCTTTGTGTGCACAGAGCTGGGCTGTGGCAAACAGTTCACAACAGCTGGAAATTTGAAGAACCACCTACGAATTCACACTGGTGTGTTTTAGACCTCACCTATTTGTGATCTGCAGAGGTGGGGTCTTTCCTGAGGAATAAACCACTTCCTCCTCTGTCTTTGAACTTTTGAGAGTATTATGTTGTGTACCTTTCCCCTCCATTAATGTCCCTTTTCTGTCAAGTCATATTGATCTATAGGTCAGATAAATCAACTACTTACCTCTTTTACTATCCTGTGTAGTTTCACACAGGTTTCACCTTTCAAATACTGTATGGTGGTGCTGTACTCTGCTCAGACTCATGTTCTGAAGATTCCCTTCCCCTCCTTCAGTTGTGTGATGGAGGGAGGGGTGCGTGTTCTTATGGGGGAAACTATACTATTACAAAGGGAATAGTTAGTGAACATGACTTCTCTAATTATGTTTTATGAAGAGGCTAATTGAAATTCCTGAAAGGCTGAATAGCTTAGATATTTCTCCACTGTGGAATCCTTGTGGACACAGTTGTAGCTGTATTGACATCTGCCTGACTCTGAGTAGCTTGTATTACTTATGCTGCTTGTAGAATAACATTTGGGACATGTAAGGAAATGAGGAATACAGTTGAATGAGTAGCAAAAATATAGTAGCAAAGGAAAACAGAAAAAGGCATTAATTAGAAGACAGCATTTTGGTGTGCAAACTGCTCTGTGTGTGCTAATGCTAATTTGGGATGTCCCCATATGCTGGAGCCTGTGTACTTTCAATTCATGCTCAGCTTTTTATAGTAAATAAAATGAGACCCTTTATTTCATGTGCTGTATTTTATGCATGGTTTGTTTATGCTGTCTCCTCTGCAGAATTTGATCCTGCCTTGCCAGTATTTTTAGAAGTTGGTGTAGCAGCCAAAGTCTTGAGAACAGCATGAAGTGCTTTAAGTGCTTTTGTCCTAGAAAGTTGCTTGAGAGAGGCACACAAGTTACTGCTGAAATGACCAGCAATTTAATAGTTAGCAAAGGTCATAGCAAATATTCTGGTGATTTTGTTTGTTTAGTTTTTTTAAGCCTCAGGGTTATCACAACAGTCAAACAATTATGGCTCAGTTCAAGCTTCTTGGAATATTGTTAGAGATTCCCTGATGGCCTAGGAAGGTAGCATTGGATTACTGTTGGTTAACATTTCAAAATAACCTTGGCAACTGTGAGAGCACAAGGCCTCTCTAGTAAAACAAAATCACAGATTATGTGGGCTGCCAGCAGCTGTTTATGCCTTCTGCCTTACTTAAACACAGCCGTATGGTATGTGGTTTGTAGACACACATGGAAAAAGGTTGCTATTTTAAAAAGTGTGCAGTCTAGCTAGAACACATGGTTTGGGGGCAGATGTTGGGATGTAGTTAAAAATTATATATACCAATAATAAAATTTTGAATGTGTAGTAACAGCAGCCATAGTTTTTGCAGTTTTCTTTTGCACTTAAAGCTCCCAGCCAAGGTGCAGGATAAAGCTAATAGGCCCAGCTGACACATGCACAATTCTCCCAGAGCATTCTGCAACCAACAGAGTAGTATCTTCTGGAGGAATAAATAATAACTTTCTAAACTGCAAATGGATAATGTGCAATTAAGAGTTTGATCATACAAAATGTGTTATAAAACTGCAGGTGTAAATAGATATAGGGTTTCTTACAGATGGAACTGTGTGCTGTTACTTTAGTCAATGGTAGTTTTTCTTCCTTCTTTCCAAATATTAAATATTTATAACAAGCCTGAAAGCACAATTGATGTTTGAGACTCTGCTACATATTTCAGCTTTGGAACACCAATTGGGACACGCTGTGTTTTGCTCAGAGCTGTTGAATGCTATTGTAGATAAGATACTAATAAATGAGCTGTAGGGAGAGGACTTCTAAAGGCAAAATCACAGTAGAAACATGCTGATGCGTGTTTAAAAGCAAGTTTACTCTGAAAGAACTGTGTATATTTTAGACAATAAAATAGTTAAAATAGCTTGCTTAATCTCCTGTGGTCTTGCTATTACTTTTATACAGGGGTCCAGTTAAAGACTTGAAATCGTAGTGTTAAACATAGAATACTGAGTTCTTTAGTTATATGTTGCAGGCAAAAATTATCTCTAGTGTTATTTAAGGCTTTATTAAGAGACCGTTTAAAACACATTAATTATATTGTGCTGCACTAGTGTAGTGACCTTCCAAATTACCATCATTTAGACAAATCAAAAATAGCTGTCATATAAAATAATAAATTTCAGCCTATGAGAACAAATTGTGCCTTGAATTACAGTTCCTCCACATGTAAATATAAACAAATGACACAGGATTTTGGCAAGTTCAGTCTGATCTGAAATGAAGTATAGAATCTGATATTAAGGAAAATACAGTTTATGGGATTTTTGGCACTGAGAGGCAGAAAGGGAACAGGATCCTGGGAGCGTGTGAAGCAGAGAGCTGTTTGTTGAGAACTCAGTATAGAAGATATACCATAGTTCAGGTACTTCTATATTAATCTATTGGTATTTATATACTTCGAAGATCTACTTAGAAACAGTGGTCCCTTTCTTCACCTTCAGTGAATTATGGTCTAAGAATATTTAAAAATAATACCAGTGAAAGCTGGTGAAGAGAATGCTTTAAAAGCCTTAGGAAGCATGTATGTAATTTCCATGGAACTCTGACACATATAAAGCCAAGAGGGAGAATGAAGTGGAGATGTCAAGGCTGTTCTCAGCCTTGACAATCAGATTTGTCTGATTAAGCTGTAATCCCAAAATCTAAGAACTTACTTTTCCCTTGTAGGGGAAAAACCCTTTTTGTGTGAGGCACAGGGATGTGGTCGCTCCTTTGCTGAATACTCCAGCCTTCGGAAACATTTGGTTGTCCACTCAGGTAAGAGTCTTCATCTGACATTCTGTGCTCTGTCTGAGAAAAGATCTTTATTGTAGGACTTTGATTTGATTTTTCTTAAGAAAAACCCTGGTTTTTATGGAACTTCCGGTCATAGTGTTTCATGACTTCCCTTTAGTGGTGCCTGTAGCCCATACTGTTTAATCTTTTAGGTTGTTTCCAGTTCTAAATTCAAATTATGTTTTTTAAATTATTTTTAAAATTGTTTCTAAAATGTCATGAAGTTGAATATGTTTCATAGCTGCCATTTTCTTATTTAAAAGAGAGAGTCTATATATTAATGACAGCCATTTGAATCTGACATCTCCAGCGAGTGGGTTTCTGCCAGAGGTAGGGGTTTCCTATATTTTTTTCCTACTACATACTTGTAATTGCACAAAGCATTAGATGGAAATGTATTTTGCAAGTGTTTCAAAGCTTCTGCCTTCTGTTTTGATTCAGCTATCTTAAATATCATCAGCACACGATGAATATGGTATGTTTGTGGAATTTTGGGCTTGAGTTTTCTATGCTTTTTCTTTCCTGTCTCCTTGGCTTCCATGCCATTGAGCTGACAGCTTTGAACAGCATACTGGCTGTCTTGTGAAAATGATAGACTGCTCTGTAAAATGGAAATCCTGTCACAGCAACAAGTCATCATCAAGTCTCTGCTCAATAATGTAAACCAGATGCTGCAATTCGTTGTGTGATGGCAGGAGATAGCTTCCTTGCCTCTGCTTCCTTGTATTTGTCCATTTTATTCTAGGTGTAGGACACCAAATATTTCCATGTCACTGAGTAAGTGATTTCAAAAAACTTGTTCTCTCTCATAAATCAGACTTGAGGGTTTTATGTTACTTCAGACTTGAGGTTTCCAAGAGCTGGCAATACTGATATCTAAAATTCTTCTGTTCTAGAAGCTTATTACTCTCTAGAAAACAGGAATATTTCTCATGTGTTTTTTACTGATAATTAGCACCAATGGTGTTAACTGCCACTTCAAAACAGTACTATTAGTTTCTTGGTTTGATGAGGTCATTACTTCCAATTTGGTAATTCTTGGGATATTTTTTTCTCCTTCTACTCCAAGGAGTGAAGCCTCATCAGTGCCAAATTTGTGGGAAGACGTTTTCCCAGAGTGGTAGCAGAAACGTGCATATGAGGAAACACCACTCCCGAATTGGAGCAGCTGGCAGCAGGGAGCGAGAACAGCCAGGTGAGGAAGGGAGCACACTCACCGAGGGGAGAAAGTACAGGAAAAATATTAGCGGATGGTCAAAGAGAAGGGAAGATGTCTGTCCTGAAAATATGAGACCACAGGCGAGTAGGAAATACAAGTCTGTTCCTCTTGGAGATGAGGATTGATTGCTCACCCTCCACTTTTCTAGGATAGAAGACAAAGGTGTATTTCTGTATTGTGGTCAAGGAGCAGATATGTTTATTGTTTTTAAAATTAACATGAATCTAGTTGGGGTTTTTTACATGGATTTTTTCCCCTTGGTTATGTATTCTCATAAGCAGCCTGGGTTTTTATGCAAAGTGAATTATTTAAAGAGAAAGCCAATCCTGCATGAGATCCCACCATAGTGAAGTTCAAAAAAATAAACATAGTATTTTCCATCCATTAGAGCTCTGAAAGCTCAAAGAGCAGGAATGAGTAAAATAGGTGTCTAGGGAAGAAGTCTGTCTGACTTGAAGGGGGGCAGGGATTGTATCTTATGTTTCAGTACCATTACATCATGAGAATTTTGTTTTACCCTTTTTTTCACAATAGAGTCACTGATGGGCAGCAGTTTGCTGGAAGAATCGACAGTGCATAGTAAGAGTATCATGTCCATGAACTCTCAGCCCAGCCTTGGTGTTGAGTCTCTGCACCTGCCAGACACTGAGTCTATTATTGGAGTAGAGGAGGGTGAGACCAGCTGCTCCTTTTTCCGCCCTCTTATATGTGGTGACTGAAGTGGGGTGGATCATTCCTCCTAGAGGCTCACCATATTGCAGTGGATGAGTGAATGTTGTTTTAACTGTGGACAGAGCGGGTGGGTAGATGGAGGATGAATCATAAAACTGGAGATGGAGAAGATCTGCTGGACCAAGTTACTCTTGCAGAGCTTAAAAGGTGAAGTCTGCTGCTTAGGTGTCATTTAACCCATGTTGTGGAATGCCATTTCAAAAGTGCTCATGCAGTACATCTCCTAAAGCCTGAAGTGTTTGTTTTGCTGGAGCACCTAGGAGCCCCAGTTAAGGACCAGGACCTCGACCTCATTGTGCTAGGCACTGTACAAACATTCAGTATCTTGAGCAACAGACCTTCCTTCCATCCTTTACCTTCAGAGACTATATTCTAATACATCTCACTGTCAGAAGCTGACTTACTATCTGAAATAAATGTACTACTTGATATCATTTGGTTACATATGCTGTGTTCTTTAACTGCTTTTCCCAGTCACTTTTTCCTCCAAAAATTTTGGTATATCAAGCTCTTTAAAAGAATCTACTATGTGGTGTTTTGAATTTTTTGTTAACTTAAAGACTTTCTTCAGAAGTGGCATTACTGAAAAAGCAGTTTTGCTAAGGTACTGTATGTCTGTAATAGCTTCTATGCAAAGAGAATGCTTGGAATTTATATTGGTCCCTTGCAGAATGGAAATGAACTAGTGCTGCTGCTAGTAAAGATCTTGTAACCTGAAGGTTCTTACAGAAGCTCCACCAGGTACCTGTAAATCAAGGTCTGATGCAGTTTGGCTATCATCTCACGAGCTCATGGGAGATGCTCCAGTGCAATGTCTTCTTTTCTACAGTATTTTTATAGGCTGGATGAACAGGCTGTAAATTTAAGTAAAGATAACAAAATATTTTCATAAAATGCAAAAATTCAGAGCCATAGTTGAAACTCTTTGTTTCCATATCATTTTTGAGACATATTAAGAGATGACAAATCTCTTTTAGGATTACAAGAATGTAATCCTCCTTTCAGAATAAAACGTTTTTTAGCAAGAAAGATGTGAGTTTTACTTACTTAGTTTGATGCTTGTACTTTCATCACCATTGGAGCAATTTCTGCTTAGGGACCAATATTAAGATTTTAATTTATCTGTTATTATATTAATGTATGTCACCGTAGTATTTGTTAAAGGGATATGCCATATTACCATATATTAATTTAAAGTCAAGCTTTTGTTTCTCCTTTCTTAGGGTTTCCCTTTACACTTCACATACTTGGAAACTTCTTTTTCCAGCATCATTAACTATTGTTATGGAAATTAGTAACCACTTTTACTAAACACCCCTTAAAATGCATGTATTAAAATTTCAGTCCCACTGTTCCAAATATATCCATACAAGCCTAGTAGGCTTTACACCTCAGATTTAGATCATGGAAGTAGTCTTCTTTCCTCCCTCGAATGTGACAAGGCATGGTGACTCTTTTCCAGGGAGTACCCAGAAAAGGAACAGCCTCTGTACATTCTACACAATTAAACCTGTGTAGAAGCCAGCGCACTGGTAACAGCTGTCCTTGAACCCTCCAAGCCTGTTGTCATTGTGGAGACTGAGTCAGGAAGGAGGAATGCCGCAGTCCAGTGCATTCAGCTAGGTACTGATCTCTGTAATGTAGCAGCATGAAACCCCTGGGCCGCAAATTCTTGGATTTAGTACTTTGTTATGATTGAAAATGTCACTATCTCAGTTTTATATTTTATCTAATGTGGTAGCTCTTACAGGTACTGTATTTCTGATTTGGTGATGCAGTTGTGTTGTTACAACTACAAGTGTAAGGAGAAAAGGATTGAGGTGACAGAAAGAGACGGTTTCTGTTTAAAAAGTGAGGAAAAGATGATTGACAAGGAAATTGAACACTACAGAAACATGACAGTCATTTGAAAATATTTTAATCTCAGAAGTGCAAAATTCTCAAGAAACATTCCAGGTGTTGTCATTCCAGGTAGTAAGGATTTTTACTTTTGAAATGGTTATTACTGTCAGGTAAAGGAAGATCACTAATGTGTGAAATATACCATTCAAGATGTGCCAGGCATTTGAGTGCAACATGCTGACAGGTAATACCTAGGGTATCTACGTAAGTAATCTTACTTCTGCCAAAATTCATTTTTGATATCACAGTAATAGTAGAATTAGGACAACAGCAATTCAAAGTGATACCCTATTTAATTACAACCTTCTTTATAATTTTGTTTGAGTTTTGGGCCAAATTAATGACCTAAATTGGTAAGATGTTAAAACACTTTCAGATGATGAAATATGGGAGGTTTTTTAATATAGGAAGATCATTGTGTCTTACTATTGGGACTAGTGACTGAAGAAGAGTTAACTCCACAGAAAGACTTCCTTCTGAGTCTTCTCCCAAGGTAGGTCAAATCCTGGTATTTGTTTTTGTAGAAACACCTTCTTTGGAAGCATTCTACCACATATATGTCTAAACCAAGGTTTACCATACTGAAAGGCATTCTCCTCTTCCACTCTGCTTCTGTGGCATGAATGCAAGGAGCTGACACTGGAGGATGCACCTCTTCAATCTTTCATATCTACTTGTATCCAAAGATAGTGCTTCAAAGTTTTAAACTTGTTGCCCATTAAAGAAAGGAAAACGGCTCACACAAGGAAACACATGTGAAGACTAAGGGAGGCTGCAGGGTTTGCTGGGTTGGACAAAACATGCTCTAAACAACAGTTGGTCTTTTTTTCCTTTACTAAATTCTCCCATCTCACTTACCCCAAAGCCATTCTTAGGTGTCGGCTTAAATCATTAAGTTCCTGAGGATTAACCTGGAGAATCCTGGACTTAAAAAATCAAGAGATGATCAATGGATTCTTCTGCTAGCTCTTATGCTGCTGGTTCCTTTCTGCTCTGTTCCTCCTGAGGTACTCCTTCCTGTACAGTACAGTCGTCCTTTTCTCCTGGAGGCTCGGGCAGTCTGCAGAAACAGTGAGTGTCTAATACTGGAAATGGTTTGCCCCGTGCTTAGGAAATAGATTGCAGTAATAGGAATTCAGACAGAGAAGCCACGATGCTTAATAAGAGCTGTGAAGTTGATTTTTCCTACACAATAGAAACTGGAATGCTTTCATGAACAGAGAAAATACTTTAAGTCAAAGACAAAAGAGCTGTACTGTATTATTACCTGTGAACATCAGGTTCTTCTTCCAGCAAGTCAGTGGCATCTTTCCCTTTTCTTCTTACAAATTCTTCGCTTAGGCCAACCTGCTGGAGAGTGTTTCTGTAGCGACGCTCTGCTCCTTGACGAGCATCATGCTGTGAAATCGAAACTTACAACAGTGAGCATGTAGAACTGGGGCTTCCCATAACAGTCAACTTGTTCTAAAGTGCACACCTGACATTCCTAATGGGGACAAAAGGACAGCGAAAGCTCCTGTCCAAAATTTTTGTAATCCATACAGTACAGTACCATAACTGAATATTAGGACAATGTCTCATGTCTCACAAAGCCAGAGCTCACCTTTTCCTGCTTCAGTTCTTTTTTAATTCCCTCTCCTGTTCTCCTCCTTATACAGCATTCCAGTCTTACCAGACTAGCATACCTGTGTCTGAGTCCCAACTCTGACACTCAAATTGAGAATATATGCAAAGAAAAGTTGTGGGAAATCCTGGAAATGTGTTTGCTTGTAATTGGTAAGAGCTAAAAACAGTGGAGTTGATAAATGGAGAGCACCTGTGAAGTAGCTTCATATCAGCTCAGCTGAAAACCAAGTATCTTGGATCCTATATCCTCACTGCCTGCAAATGAACCTTGCAAATCAATGTAGTCTGAGATGATGGTTTTCCAGAGACTGGCCAGTTCTAAAGATTAAGATGTTCTGTATGGAAAAATAGAAATCTGAGTGAATGCAATTGATACCGGTGCATTCTTATTAACCTGGCATGCTGTTACCAATATTTATCATATACATATGTTCTCTGCCTCCATGATCAGAACAGAAAGCCTGACCAGGAGGGTACTTTCTGTTGAGAAATCTTAAATCAGCATATTGTCAATGTATTTTTGTACATTGACTTGTACTTTAATCAGCTCTCATCCCTGCAAGGATGTGGAACTGGAAGAGAAAACCCAGTGAAAAACATACAGGGAGTATATTAGAGAGTACAGACTGTATCTACACCTCAGATGCAATACAGATTTGCAGCTGGAGATGGATGAGATGTGCTGAATGCAGCCCCAGATTGCAGAGTCAGCAGGTGATAGATGTGACGTAACTGTCATTAATGTTCTAGTAGGAGTAGAGGTACAAAGAAAAAGTTCTGAACTGGAGAGGGTTTTAAGAAAAAAGCTTTGCATTTCTAGACTGTAGTCTATGGCATTCAGGTGCAGAATAGGTATTCATATAATTTCTGGTGTTAAAAGCCTTGATTTTGACCACACCATATATTGCGATTGTAATATATAATAGGAACTGGCAAGCTCCTAGAATTAAGTCAGTGTTTTTTTTCAGGTGGTGGGAAGGAATTAAATTCTACCTGACTGGCTCTTCCATGTATTATTTTGAGTGCAGTCAAGAAACTATGCAACCATTTGCACCTTCTTATCCATGAATTGAGACTAGACTTCTTCATGCATGTCTTAAATGAAAGACAATCTATCCTGTTGCCCAGAAACAGTCAGGGGCTTTGACCAGTTACCTTGGTGACCTGTTCGAAGAGATATGGTCTGTTCTTGACTCGCAGCTGCATTTCTTCCAGCTCCTTTCTGTACTCTTTTGTTCTCTCTCTCATTTTTTGCCTGAAATGGAAAAATTGCCTGTGTAATGTAGACTTCCTCTGACTGTAGCTGATCAGGAATGAAGAATCCTCAGTAACTTTCACTTTTAAATTGCTTTGGTCATTCTCTTGATGCTAATGCAAGGCAAAAAAAATATCCTATTGCTAGCAAGTTATGGACCCATTAGCAAAGCTCTTCTATGAGACTGTAAGCAAGGAACCTCTGTTCGCATTTTTAGAAAACCTTGTTTTAAGTGTGCTTTACCAAGTTACACATTACAGTTGACTGGTTTGTAACTTGAGTTTCTACAAATGTTAATCTAAAAGAAACCATTCTGTATGGAAGGAATAGTGTGGCATTGTCAAGAAATCCAAACGAATGTGGAATGGGTACAAGAGCAAAAAACAGTTAGGCTAGGAATGTCCTTAGACCCAGTTCCTCCTAAAGAATTATCTGATGATCCCCAGTTGGTGGAGCAAACAGTCATTTCTGTGCAGAATAGGATACTGACCTGTTCTGTTTCAACTTCTCCTTGTGTGTTTCCTCCAGACTTTTATGAGGATCCAGTGCTTTTGCTCGGCTGTTCACTGACTTCTGCATAGCTTGACATTTCATTTTCTGTTTCTCCTGCCAATTAATTCCTTCTTTGTCCCCTTCCTTTTTGTTAACTTG